GCTGAAGGATTTTATTGATACATACTCTTTTTTAATGCATTGTGGTTATTTATTATTTTAATCCCATGTGTGTTTTTAATGTATTTATTGTTTGTATATGTAGATTTTGATGTTTCTGATTTGTCTGATATTATGTGAGTTGTGAGGCGCTTTGAGTGGCCTTATGTTGGAAAGGCGCCATACAAATAAAGTTGATTGATTGATTGATTGATATACACAGATGTACACACGTGTGCACAGGTACTGATTGGCCTGGGGGGGGCACTCCTCGATGACCAGCCGCACTGGTACAAACTACAGCTGCCTCAAAGTTCCCCCTGTGCCCCAAGAAGGGTACTGCACCATCAACGCTCTCTGCCCCGAAACCAAACCATGAACCTGGACTATGAAGAGGGCATCGGGGTCATCCCAGGTAACACAGACCATGAGACCTCAGAGACGTGATCCAGGACCATATGAACTCAGACCATGTGATCTAAGACCATTTGACTTCAGAGACATGTGACCTCGGACCATGTGGTTTCTCTCACAGACACCTTGTCCAGATGTGATGGCATGGTCTATGGTTCTTCGATGTCCGTTCCAGACCAGGTTCTGACCCGGAACAGAACCGTGTCCCCTCAGCCCTCCCCCCACAGGTGAAGCCCCTCCTCAAGAGTTGGAGTGGTAGTTCTGGTTTCTCTTACATTTGGGGTGGTCTTGTATATTGGGGTGGTCTCTAACAGTGGGGGTTGTAGTTCCCAGACTCTGTACCCACTGCTGCGTGAGGATGCAGTTCGCCTGCTACGAGGATCCAAACTCAATCGAAGCCAATCAGACACAAGCACCCGCCCCCCAGACCGGTGAGAGTCAATCAGCACATATATGTAGGACTGGGGAGGTCTGTAACACAGGTGTAATGTGGGGTCTTTAACACAGGTGTAGTGTGGGGTCTTTAATACAGGTGTAATGTGGAGTCTTTAATACAGGTGTACTGTGGGGTCTTTAACACAGGTATAGTGTGGGGTCTTTAACACAGGTGTAGTGTGGGGTCTTTAACACAGGTGTAGTGTGGGGTCTTTAACACAGGTGTAATGTGGGGTCTTTAACACATGTGTAGTGTGGGGTCTTTAACACAGGTGTAGTGTGGGGTCTTTAACACAGGTGTAATGTGGGGTCTTTAACACATGTGTAGTGTGGGGTCTTTAACACAGGTGTAGTGTGGGGTCTTTAATACAGGTGTAGTGTGGGCTCTTTAACACAGGTGTATTGTGGGGTCTTTAACACAGGTGTAGTGTGGGGTCTTTAACACAGGTGTAGTGTGTGGTCTCTAACACAGGTGTAGTGTGCGGTCTTTAATACAGGTGTCGTATGGGGTCTTTAACACAGGTGTAATGTGGGGTCTTTAACACAGGTGTAGTGTGGGGTCTTTAACACAGGTGTAGTGTGTGGTCTCTAACACAGGTGTAGTGTGCCGTCTTTAATACAGGTGTAGTATGGGGTCTTTAACACAGGTGTAGTGTGGGGTCTTCAACACAGGTGTAATGTGGGGTCTTTAACACAGGTGTAAAGGGAGGACTTTAACACAGGTGTAATGTGTGTCTATGGTTCAGGCGGACTCTGAGGAGGACGTCTCTGGCTCCATCTCTTGAAAATCCACACGACAGGTACACACTCCGCAGATTTGCGTTGTAAGACTCTGTTACCATGGACACAGCTCTACAATTCAACAGGGGGCGCTCTGACTTTGTGATTTCATGTTGTAGGTTTTATACCGGAGGCTTAGTGCGGAACAGGAGCTGCAGGTCAGTGTTTAGACCTGTTACTTACCTGCATTAGTTCTGTTTTCTGTTTTAACTAACTTTTGTGTCTGGTTTTAGTCCGGATGTTTATCAGTATGACACTGACATCTATGAAGAGGAGCTGCTCAGGTGAAGTTCAAAACCTTATTTAGTCCTGGTATATTCCTGGGTTCGGCCTGGGTTAGACCTGAATTAGATCTGGTCTAGACCTGGGTTAGTCCTGGGGCGGACCTAGTTCTTGCTTCTGATCCAGTTTCTCTGCAGGTCTCGATCTCCGCGGCTCAGTCCAGTTTTCAGTCGATCGTCTCGACAGCTACCTCTTGCTCCAAACCGCGGCCTCAGTGAGTTTATCCCGGATTAGACTTGACTAGGACTGTGTTTCACCAGGACTAGACTGGACTAGGACTGGGTCAGACAGTTAGGATGGGTTTTGAGGTTTTGAGGTGAAAACCTCTGTAATGTAAGGTGTTTGTGTTTCAGATGGAGAGATGTGCGACACAGTGCAGACAGGTATGAGACTGAGAGACCATTAGAGACCACAGTGACTACAGTGAGACCAGAGAGAGACTCCAGAGGGACGACAACAAGACCAGAGCTACGAAAGAGAATGAGAAAAGATGCAGAGGTCTGGGATCATGTCCAGCAGAAGACATGTTTTATTGATGGTAGAAAGATGACACGATCAAAGATTTTCAGTGTGCACAGGGCTTCATACAACAAATCAGACACTCCTCTTACTGCTAATTTACACAGGAAGCATTACAGCACGTACGCGTTGTTCGCGCAGCAGACACGCATAACATTATTCCAGGTTCACCAATGGTGATATTTACACTACCAGTCAAAAGACATGGAAACATGATTTTTCTAGCGCACACACACACACACACACACACAGCACTTGTATCTAAACATTAGGAGGAGGACTGGCAGGTTTCAAAGACAAACACATACATGTGATTTGTGTTGCTCGACATCAGTCCTCTGGCCCGTACTACACTACACTACTCTACACTTCTCCATACTACACAGGAAGAGCATCTGAAGCCACGTACCTGCATGCACGGCCAGTGGACATACAGTACAGACTAGGGGTGGGAACCTAAGGGTACCTCACGATACGATACAATACGCGATACAAAGCTCACGATAACGATTATATCACAATTTGACAATTATCGATATATTGGTCAGCAATATACCATATCATTTCATGATAAATGGAATGGAGATGTGTAATGTAGCCATATATTAAGTATTGATGATATATATTTTTTAATCGATACCCCGCAAATGCATATCGATAATCGATCGCGGGAGAAAGTATCGCGATATATCGAAAAATCTATATATCGTCACACTCCTAGTACAGACCAGTTTGAACACACCTTCTCATTCAAAGAGTTTATTTTCAAGATTATGAAAATTTTAGATTTATACTGAAGGCCTCTAAACTATAAATTCACTGATGGTATTATGTAGGACCTAAAAAAAAGTAGGAAAAAAAAAATCTAGGTTTTTCAAAAGTAGCCACCTTTTGATCTGATTACTGCTTTGCACACTCTTGGCATTCTCTTGCCGTGAGCTTTAAGAGGCAGTGACCTGAAAGAGTCTTCCAACAATCTTGAAGGAGTTCCCAGAGATGCTTTGCACTTGTTGGCCCTTTTGCCTTCACTCTGTGGTCACCCCAAAACGATCTGGATAGGGTTCAGGTCCGGTGACTGTGGAGGCCAGGTCATCTGGCCCAGCACCCTCCTCGTTGGAGGAGTCAAATAACTCTTACACAACCTGGGTGTGAATCTACAGTCAATAGTCTTGAAAAGAAAGGAAACTCATTGAATTCGAAAGTGTGTCTGTACTGTACATCTGTGCAATGTTACGCGCGTATGCACGCAGTCAACGCTTCAGCACTGTTAACGCCTACTGTGTAAATTAGAAGTTAAGAGTCTGCCATGGCACCAAAAATCACTCAGTCCTACATACTTAGAATGAGCAGCTTAAAAGTGTCTTCTAGATCCAAAATACCACAGAGAGACCACAGAGAGAGTGAGACTAGAGTCTATATTGAGAACAGCAGGGGACAGTGTTGACCCCCTCTTTCTCTTTCTGTTTCAGTTCTGTCGTCATTCTCAGCTCCACCCCCTCCTGTCATCAGAGTTCAGGCTCCCCCCACATGCACACAAGGCCCTCCCCCTGAGTTCGTCCTTCATCAGGCCCCTCCCCAACAGACTTCTGTCACAATCACTGCTCCTTATTGGTCATATTCAATCCCTCCCCCTCCAGCACAAGCACCCCCTCCTCCAGTACAAGCTCAACCCCATCAAGCACAAGTCCCTTCCCCACTAACACAATCTACACCCCGAACAACACAAGTCCCACCTCCACAACAAGCTCCACCCCCTCCAGCACAAGCTCCGCCCCCTTCAACACAAGTCCCGCCTCCACAACAAGCCCCTCCCCCTCCAACACAAGTTCCGCCTCCTCCACAACAAGCCCCTCCTCCTTCAACACAAGCCCTGCCCCCACAACAAGCCCCACCCCCTCCAACTCAAGCCTCGCCCCCACTACAACAAGCCCCACCCCTTCCAACTCAAGCCTCGCCCCTACCCACTCTAGCTCCACCCCTATCAGAACAAGCTACGCCCCCTGTAACAGTCTTATCCAATGCCGTAGCCTCAACATCTTTGAAATTACAAGCTTCCACAGAGGCCTCACCCCCTGAACAGACCCCAGGTAAGACACTGCATCATGCAGTAACTTGTTACTCATTCAGGTCTGGTTCAGGTCTGGTTTAGGTCCGGTTCAGGTCCGGTTCAGGTCCGGTTCAGGTCTGGTTCGGGCCATGACCAGCTTCACCTTTTGGGCCCGATTTCTCTAATCTGTAGTTTTAGTCATTTTAGTTCTAGTTGAAGATCAGCCCTGAGCTGTTCTCTGATTGGTCTATGTGTGTGATGTCATCAGAGATGGACAGACGATCTGCGACGCCTGGTGGAACCAGGAAAGGTCTGAATGTTCTTATTAACTCATATTAGCTTGTTAGTTTTAGCACAGTAACTTATATTGCCCTATTAGCTCTGACACATGTTTCTTCAGAGGTCACATGGGAGGATCAACAGAAGAAACCAACCAATGGGGAGACTCCTTTAAAGGTCGGGACCCGTGACCCTCTTTGACCCCTCTGTGACCTCACTGACCTCACTGACCACTAACCTCCCACAGATGATCTCGTCTCTGAAGTCCGTTGAGTCCAACTGTGGAGACGATGTGGATCCTCAGGCTCTGAGGTATTTACATTCACTCAGGGCTAACCCCTATGCTGCTTCTGCTGCTTCTCCCGGCTTTAGTCTGGGTTAGTTTGGTTTGGTCTGGTTTGGTTTAGTGTAGTCTGGGGGCAAGGCACAGCTTGTGCGGCGCAGTCGTTGTCCAATCAGAGCAGTGGCTCAGACCATGTGACCTTGTGTTGCAGTGCGTTCATGAGTCTGATAGAGAAAAGGAGAGAGAGGAGAAGGTAAGGAAAAAGGACAAGGAAACAACCTTTCTTCTGATCAAGATGTTTCAGTGTTTCAGTCTCATTCTGACTGGATACTGACCGATACTGGACCAATACTGAACCGATACAATGGTAATACTGTAAATTCCCCCCTCTGGTCACACATTCACATGTGACCATCAGGATCGATAAACAGCAACATAACATAACATCATCATCATGTCTCAATACTTCAAAACTCTGCACTTCAAAATACTCAGAACTCTGAATACTTCAAAAACTCAGAAAACACATAAAACATGTTCAGATCTTTCATAATACTCGTCAACAATCTTCAGTAAAATACCAAACTTCATCAGTCGATGGTGGTTCTCAGATATTGCTTAGAAAACAGTCTCTCCCATTTGTGTTGATTTCTTCAGGCTGCATTTCTTGTGTCGAAACATGAATTCTTCTGTGACGTGTCTTTCAATCACACGTTTCAGCTTGACTCAAACTTGATCATTAAATATGCTGATGACACCACCATCATCGGTCTCATCAATGACAATGATGAATCCTCTTATAGAGCAGAGATACAAAATGTGGTTCGGTGGAGTGAAACTAACAACCTCCAGTTGAACGCATCGAAAACATGTGAACTGGTCTACGACTTCAGTCGCAATAGTTCTCATTTGCCTGTCGCAATCGATAACTCCCAAGTGCAGATCGTAGAGGAGTGCAAGTTTCTGGGTCTAACTCTGTCTAACGACCTGAAATGGGTTAAAAACACTGACCGAATCGTTAAGAAAGCTCGTCAGCGTCTCTACTTTCTGCGTAAACTTAGAGAATTTACCACTAACTCTAAGATTCTGCTTAACTTTTATCGCTGCACCATTGAGAGTTTACTTGTTGGTTCTGTGTCTGTGTGGTTTGGAAACATCACAGATAAAGAAAAGAGAGCTTTAAACAAGGTGCTCCGCTCTGCAAAGAGGACCGTGGGCTGTGAACTTCCTGTTCTGGAGGTTCTTTATAAATCCAGACTTTTAAACAAAGCTCTTAGGATTTTCAATGACTCTTCTGGCCACCCAGGAAAAGCCTTGTTCCAGCTTCTTCCCTCTGGCAGAAGATATCGCTCTCTGAGATGCAGGACATCTCGTTACGCTAACAGTTTTTATCCACAAGCTGTTATCAGTGTGAACAGAGCACTTTAATGATTTGCACTTGTTTTGAACTGTTTTAGTCGATCGATTTCACAGTGACTGTGATTGTTTACTGTTTTATTTGTTTTATTTTTGTCTTTTAATGTTGTTTTATGTCTGTATTTGTCTGTGCACTGGAGACTTTTCGCTAATGTATTCCAATGTGTTTTTTTTTACTGCAAATGGCAAATAAACTGAATCTGAATCTGAATCTCTTTAGTGTCCAGATTCAGCAATCCAATTCAGTCCAAATTATGTCCAAATTCAGAAATCCATATGTTCCAAATGATGTCCATGCAAAAGGGGACGATGGTATTGTCCGTGTCTCAGCAGCTCACAGCAGGCCTGAGTGGAATCAGGGGCTGTGCAGATTGTCCATGTGCTGATCCAGATGCATGGTTTCTCTTGAGGTCTCTAAATTTTGTCTGGAAAAAAAAGTTTTCTGTTCTGTAGATGTTAGTTCTTCCAACAATGCCCGCATCCTCCTCCACCTGAAGAAGATGGACAAAGTCTGGGATTGTGTCTTTAATTCAGACTGAAGACATGTTTTATTGTCCATGGTAGAGACAGCACAAACAAAGATGTTACAGACTGCAAGTGATGATATACAGCATGGAGGAATGAACACCGTCCAATCCGCTGTCACCACGGTGGCAGTAGCTTCAACCTTGACATAACCAAAACATGCAATGGAAAAGCACTGCCTTGTGCATATTGTTAGAATGATAAGTTAGAACTTTAACCACAGTTGCTTCAAAGTGTCATGAAAACTCCAAACTCGTCAATGGCAACATAAAATGCCACACACGACTTCAATCTGTAGCTAGTTCTGAAATCCTTTCTGCTGCACCTGGACAGGCTGATGCTAATGCTATGTTGTTAGCACTCAGGTAGCTTGCCTTTACAGCGGCATCACTAACCTCTCGCTCTGGGCACAAACAGACTGCTGTTTCTTCAGGGCCAGACACGTTTATCTTCTGTCTTCTCAGTTCTTCGCTCAAATTGCTGTGTCTTTCGATGAGTCTCGTAGTTAAAGGTGATATTCCTTCAGCCACTTGTTGCGTACACACCAAACATACCAGTGTTTCATTCACCTCAGCAAATAAATAAAAAATAGTCACTACAGAGGAACTCGACATTCTCTGCTGAGCTAAGCGTTGCGACGCGTGGAGTCACTGAGCGGAGCAGTTATTTTTTCAAATCATTATCATGTTAATCGTTATTATTGCCGTGTCAAATCTCTTGGCGAGCCGGATCCAGCCCCTCGGCCTCATAATTGACACCCCTACTTTACGCCAAAGATGCGTGTGTGGCTCTCTGCATGTGCATGGAGGGGCTCGGCCGTTGTTAGACTTAGACTTAGACAGACTTTATTGCTCAACAAGGGACATTGCGTTGTCACAGTACTGTAGCTTACATAGTATTCCACAATAAAAATAACAAAGAAAATAACAATGATAATGAGATGATATTGTGAGAATAGAGTAATCTGGATGTAGGTGCTCACTGCTCAGGAATATACATATCTGTGAATATGTACACATTTACAGTATAAAATACAGAGATAGTAGTATACTACACATCTGTTAATACACAATATACGCAAGGACAAAGCAGATAAACTTGACGTCTGTTGAGATGTGTGCAGCAGTACACATGTACTGTTGTACAGCAGTATGGAGTGTGGCATGAACATGCACTTGTACCGCTCACTGTGGCAGCGGAGCTGTAGGAGTGTTTGAGAAGGAGCTCCTTTGCTCCTCCATAGTCCGGTGGAGTGGATGTGTAGGATTGTCCATGATGGAGAGCAGTTTTTCCAGTGTCCTTCTGTCTCTCACTGTTGTAAATGACTCCAGCTGACCGCCAAAAACCTGTCCAGTTGCCGGACCAATAAGTGGCTGGTGATCAGAGCGGAGTAGAGCGGGAGCCAAACGAGCAGAGTTTGTTGAACTAAAGTGTAGATTTCTAGAAAACCAAAGGATTTAACAAGAAAAAAAAAAGTTCAGGATGACAAAGAACAGTAAAATCCCCACTTTTCTGAAAGCTGTGGGTTCTCTGTCAGCTGAGGTTGAGTTCTATGGGACATTTTTCTGGAAATCAAATGTGAATTTATTCTGTAGTACCTCGGGCACCCCCTGTTAGTTAAGCTAGAAATACCCTATGGTGATATTATTATAGATCCATGGTCAGGACCAAGCCCCAACAGTAAAATATGGCATTAGCATAGCAGCGCATGTGCCACCATGGGCACAAAAAGATTAGCAGAATTGGCCGATATTTGAGCATTTCTCTGGTTTCTATGCAGTGGACAACCTCCCATGATGCCTTGCGCCAAAAACTAATGAGCATGCATGTGTGGCTCTCATGCACGTGCACAGGGAGCACGGCTACGTTCTTGACAAATCAGGCGCTGCTGATCAGAGCAGAGCTAGAGCAGGAAGAAAACAAGCAGAGTTTGTTACACTAAAGTGTGGATTTAAGAAAATCGACAGATTGAAAAAGAATGGATGGCTCAGGATGACAAGGCACACTAAAATCCCCACAAAATCCGACCTTTATGAAGCCCAAATTATGAATTTAGTCACATTTAGTCTGCAGTACCGGGTGCCCCACGAGCCCACGGGTCCTTCAGCTATAATCTAGTAATACCCTTTACAGATATTGTAATAGATTCATGGCAGGACTCAGGATTATGGTCTCTATCGCTTTCCTGATTGGTCAAATCACTTCTTGTAACCTTTTTCTCTCTACTGATTGGTCGAGCAGCAGTAGGGCGTCCGTGGATTTGGGGGCAGCTCCAGAGCAACCAGCGGAAGTGACATCACCAGCAGTAGGCGGGGCCACGCTGCAAAAGAGCGAATCCATAGAGGGTGACGAGGAAGAGGAGGAACCTAAGTAAGTGACATTATTTTTACATGTGACAAAATGTAAAATAGGATTTGAGACCTGTTGTATATCTTTATTGACAAGAATTAAAACATTGTAAAAGTGTAACGTGAGGTCTGTAATCAGTGTCCCCGATAATTTTTCAAAAAGAGCAAAAACACAAAAAGTCCCTGAGCGGAACGTGGAGTACTCTGAGCAAGAGATCACTGTTGAAACGTATCTGCTGCGATCCCATTTATTGAAGTTACTTCAGCTTCAACCAACGATGATTTGCTTCATTATTCACCAGATTATGATGCATCTGATTCTTTAATAGACTAAGGGTCCTCCAGGTGTGAGTGCCCTCACCAGAAAAGTGCCTTCCCATAGGGGAGTGCACTCTCAGGATATTCTCCCTGAGAATTGGGACACCCCTGGATCTAGGGGAGAATATGCAAATGACACAGCAAACGTGTTCCTCGTCACACACATTATCAATGTGTCTGATTTCACCACAGATAAGATCTGACACAGATATGACTTTGTGAAACACAGTATTTATACAGGGATCAAGAGTTCCAAGCTTCCGGCTCGACCGCACGGCATTGTGGGTAGTTTTCTCAAAAAAGTGGGCATCAAATCACGCTCTTCTATCAGATTACCTGTTGCGAGCGTGATCTGCCTCTCTTTTTTTCGCTACAAAAAGCACCAAATTCATACATTTTTCATTTAACAAAAAAGCAATGCATTTTTTTTCTTGTGGTTTTAGATGTAAACACAACCGCCTGACTATAGAGCTACATGTCGCTTATGCTACTTACGAGGATCAAATGCTTACACGCAAGCTTTATAAACTTGCCCAAAGCTGTACTTTGAACACTTTGGCCCCCTTGAACCTTTCGGCACATTTCAGGCTTCAAACATAAAGATATAAAAATGTAATTTTTTGTCAAGAATCAACAACAAGTGGGACACAATCGTGAAGTGGAACAAAATTTATTGGATAATTTAAACTTTTTTAACAAATAAAAACTGAAAAGTGGGGCGTGCAATATTATCCGGCCCCCTTGCGCTAATACTTTGTAGCGCCACATTTTGCTGCAATTACAGCTGCAAGTCGCTTGGGGTATGTCTCTATCAGTTTTGCACATCGAGAGACTGGAATTCTTTCCCATTCTTCCTTGCAAAACAGCTCGAGCTCAGTGAGGTTGGATGGAGAGCGTTCGTGAACAGCAGTCTTCAGCTCTTTCCACAGATTCTCGATTGGATTCAGGTCTGGACTTTGACTTGGCCATTCTAACACCTGGATACGTCTATTTGTGAACCATTCCATTGTAGATTTGGCTTTATGTTTTGGATCATTGTCCTGTTGGAAGATTAATCTCCGTCCCAGTCTCAGGTCTTTTGCAGACTCCAACAGGTTTTCTTCCAGAATGGTCCTGTATTTGGCTCCATCCATCTTCCCATCAATTTTAGCCATCTTCCCTGTCCCAGCTGAAGAAAAGCAGGCCCAAACCATGATGCTGCCACCACCATGTTTGACAGTGGGGATGGTGTGTTCAGGGTGATGAGCTGTGTTGCTTTTACGCCAAACATATCGTTTTGCATTGTGGCCAAAAAGTTTGATTTTGGTTTTATCTGACCGGGTCTTGGTAGATTTGCAGTGGTCTGATACTCCTTCCATTTCAATATAATTGCTTGCACAGTGCTCCTTGAGATGTTTAAAGCTTGGGAAATCTTTTTGTATCCTAATCCGGCTTTAAACTTCTCCAACAGAATCTTGGACCTGCCTGGTGTGTTCCTTTGTCTTCATGGTTCTCTCTGCGCTTTAAACAGAACCCTGAGACTATCAAAGAGCAGATGCATTTATACGGAGACTTGATTACACACAGGTGCATTCTATTTATCATCATCAGTCATTTAGGACAACATTGGATCATTCAAAGATCCTCACTGAGTTTGCTGCACTGAAAGTAAAGGGGCCGAATAATATTGCACGCCCCATTTTTAAGTTTTTTATTTGTTAAAAAAGTTTAAATTATCCAATAAATGTTGTTCCACTTCACGATTGTGTCCCACTTGTTGTTGATTCATGACAAAAATAACATTTTTATATCTTTATGTTTGAAGCCTGAAATGTGGCGAAATGTTGAAAGGAATACTTTCGCAAGGCACTGCAATTGTCTGGTGTGGAGCTTCTGAATGTAGAGAAGGATAAATACCTGGGGCACGTAATCAGGAGTGACCTCAGTGATGACGATGACATTCAGAGGCAGTACTGTAAGCTTTATGGACAGGCCACTGCACGGAGATTTCACATGTGTACAGAGAAAGTGAAAATAACTTTGTTTCAAGCCTACTGCACACCTCTCTATACACACCTCTCTGTACTGCACACCTCTCTGTACTGCACACCTCTCTGTACTGCACACCTCTCTGTACTGCACACCTCTCTGTACTGCACACCTCTCTGTACTGCACACCTCTCTATACTGCACAGATATCTATACTGCCCGCTCACTGTTTGTTCTTAATAATGTCCCCACTCTGAATCCTCTGATCAGAAATGTTATTTATCCTCGTAAGTAGCATAAGCTACATGTAGCTCTATAGACACTCGGTTGTGTTTACATCTAAAACCACAAGAAAAAAAATTCATTGCTTTTTAGTTACATGAACAAATCTTTACCTTACCTTCAAAATGCATTAAATTGGTGATTTTTGTAGCGATTAAAACAGTCGATGGGCTGGAAAAAAGAGAGACAGATCACGCTCGCAACAGGTAATCTGATAGGAGAAGGTGATTTGATGCGCACTTTTTTGAGAAAACTACCCACAATGCCGTGCGGTCGAGACGGAAGCTCGAAACTCTTGATCCCTGTATTAAAATTAGACGTTTTTAATACTATTTCATATGAAGATTTTCTATAAGTAGGTACAGAACAGCTGCACATCACGCACTCATTGAAACAGACACACATGTACACACGCAGAGACAGACACACGCGTGTACCACACAGAGACAGACGAATCAAGTAAACGGTGTCAAAGCGATGCTCTGAACTACATCATGGCTCTATAATAATAACAACATCTCTAAAGCCTCAGTGAACGTATTGGGACATCCCACAACCCCTGCGGGCACGCGCAAAATCTAAGGCAAGGGTGAGAATAGGAGGATCTTGGAGTGACGTCATTGTTCATAGTTTTTCCGCGCCGGTCACGTGACCGGGTGGCACTACAGCATAGAAAGCTACCTGAATGCTAGAGAGTATGTTATTTTTAGACGCTTGGAGAGAGGTTTTACTAAATCAAATGGTCCACTCTTGTTGTGTGGTCGGTTGTACAACCCGCTGGGGACGGATTACGTTTTTTTTCGAATTCTTTCTGAAAAGAACAGCGAAAAACAGCAGCGGTAAAGTGGTTGCCCTTTTATGCTGTTACCTACGGTAAACGTAGAACGGAAAGCCGGGGGGATGAGGGGATAAACAAATTTAACTTTTACAACTACTTTCACTGCGCACTCATTCATTCATTTATAAATGATGCTTTTTGGTTGCTCATCCCCAAGGCTTCCTGTTCCGTCTTTACTGTAAGTAACAGCAAAAAGGGGCAACCCGCTTTTAATGTGTGGCGAAATGCCAGGCCACTTTACCGCGGTGAAGGGTCTCCAAATGCAACTATACGCGGATGACACTGTAGTATATACTCATGCCAGCACCAGTCACCTCGAGGCTGTGGCTCAATGGCTCGATCAATCCTGTCTCTGCCTTAACACTAGTAAAACAAAGGCCATGTTTTTTCGAAAAACCAAAGCACATAGTACAAACTCTGACATTTATATTAGGAACGATAAGATTGAAAATGTTGCTGAATACAGGTATGTTGGGGTTACTTTAGACGCTAACTTGAATTTCAAAAAACATGTTAAAAACATGACAAGAATTCAAATTCAACCTTGCCAATTTCAGACATATTAGACCCTGTCTCTCCCTTGAGGCAGCTAGAACATTTATGCATGCGCTTATTTTCTCGCATTTATCGTACTGTATCACATGTTGGGGCATGCAGGGGAATCAGTAGTGAGACCTCTTGAGTCAGTGTATAAACAGGCCTTAAAAATTTTAGACAAAAAGCCTCTGAGGCACCATCATTGTAACATCTTAGTAAAATATAACTTTTTGAGTTTTGAAAACTTCAGATATTTTCTAACCTGTGTCTGGTATTCAAAGTTCTAAATGGCCTGTTTCCTGACTGTTTAAAATCATTTGTGAACTACAGAGAAATACACTCAATTAGTTTCACGAGAATAGCATCTGTGCGCGATTGTACTATCCCCTTCCGTCGCTCTGCCTTTGGTCTCTCCGCCTTCTCTGTGAAGGCCTCTACGCAGTGGAATGCACTTCCAAATTCTATTAAATCGTGTGTTACACTGGGAGGCTTTAAGAAGGAACTGAAAAGACACTTAAAGAGTGAGCAAAGATGTGATCACTCTCCATAGGTCCAAGGGTACTGGACCTATGTGTGTGTGTGTGTGTGTGTGTGTAACTGTGTGTGATTGTGCGCTTGTGTGTGAGTATACGTCTGTGATTGTGTGTTTGCCCTGTGTGTATCAACTGACTGTATTCACTTGTGTATTTTATGGTATGTGCTTGAGTTCTTTTATACCCACCTCTACGTGGAGTGTTCTTCCCTGCCAGGGGACTACAGATGCAAATTAGCCTCAGGCTAACTCCGGTACAATGCATCAAATGGTAACATTTATGTTCTAATTGTACATTGTCCCTTTTTAAATTGATAAATAAATAAAAAATAAATAAAAAAACGCGAGAAATGGATTTTCACCACGGACCCCCAGCAGATCGGTGCCAAAACAGATGTGAGTCTGAGCAATGTTTCTTCTCGTCATCCCAGGTCTCATCTGGGCTTTGGATTTGTTCAGTTCGGTCTCATATACTTATTTTTAGCTTGTCTTTATATCTCCTCTGATCTTCTTGCGTTAAAGTGATTATTGTCGTTTAAAAGTACTCGTCGCATCCATGCTTCAGTATGCGCCGCTTTGTCTTTTTGCCACCCGGCAAGGGCGCATGCGCACGCAGGTGTAAACAAAGATCCTCCTATTGGGACGGGGCTTTAGGAATATATTTGGTGAGTTGCACTAAATAAACAAAATATTAAAAAAGAAATTAGCCTATTCTTATGTATAATATAGACTAAATAGGCAATATTAATATCCGTCCGTCCGTCCGTCCGTTTTCTTCCGCTTTATCCGTTGCCGGGTCGCGGGGGCAGCAGTCTAAGCAGAGACGCCCAGACTTCCCTATCCACACACACCTCCTCCAGCTCGTCCGGGGGACCCCAAGGCGTTCCCAGGCCAGCTGAGAGACATAGTCTCTCCAGCGTGTCCTAGGTCTTCCGCAAGGCCTCCTCCCGGTGGGACGTGCCCGGAACACCTCCCCAGGGAGGCGTCCAGGAGGCATCCGGAACAGATGCCCGAGCCACCTCAACTGGTTCCTCTCGACGTGAAGTAGCAGCGGCTCTACTCCGAGCTCCTCCCATGTGACTGAGCTCCTCACCTTATCTCTAAAGCCTAGCGTACATCGACAGAGAAACTGGGGACAACTAGTTGCAAGGCGGCTTTTGGCAACTGAGAGGAGATGGTGGGAGATGATCAGTTGCCGAAATCGGTCGATGTGCGCGCTCTTACAACTGGAGATGATCAGTCGGTCTCCAGTTTCAGTCAGTTGCCCGTGTTCTACTTTTCGGCAACTAGTTGTCCTCAGTTTCGGAGATATGACCCGATGTGCGCGCTCCATGCGCCGCTCCGACAACGTGTGTGTATTGTGTGTGTTGCGAGCCCGCAACAGTTTATGTCAGAAAACACACTGTAGGTGAGGCCAGTTGCTGTCGATGTACGCGCTGTTATTCCCGAGACTGGTCTGCAACTGGGAGTTGCCCGTTTTCGTCAGATTGTCGATGTGTGCGGGACAGCAACTCATATGCGACGGATATAATCAGTTGCCAGTCCGATGTACGCTAGGCTTAAGGGAGCGCTCAGCCACTCTGCGGAGGAAGCTCATTTTGACCGCTTCTATCCGCGATCTCGTTCTTTCGGTCATTACCCAAAGCTCATGACCATAGGTGAGGGAGGGAACGAAGATTGACCGGTAAATCGAGAGCTTTGCCTTTCGGCTCAGCTCCCTCTTTACCACAACGGTCCGATACAGCGACCGCATCACGCTGCACCGATCCGCCTGTCAATCTCACGCTCCATTCTTCCCTCACTCGTGAACAAGACCCCGAGATACTTGAACTCCTCCACTTGAGGAAGGAATATTAATATATGATATAAAATGTTATATTTTCTCAAATGGCATTATAAAAACACATAGAACTATAATTTATACAAAGATGATAATAGTCATATTGCCACAAAATGAACTTTACTCAGCAATAGGCAACTTTGTGTTAAACTGAAGGCGCTGGTTTGACCAACAAAGTTCTTAACACCACAGAAAAGATAAGCGCTAACAAAAAACCACAGCAAAGTGATATACTTGGGGCAAAGAGAGAATCTCCAGGAGAATATCCTGTTCATAAGACTCAAGCCTCCCTGCATGTGTGTGTGTGCGTATGTGCGTCCACCTTTGGTGTGTGTAGCTCCCAGTGGGGGCGGGTCCCAGCTCAAAAGTGGCCAAAATGACGTGCGCTGACATGCTTGCAATACCACCCCGGGCCGTTGGGGGTGGACCCAGAAGAAGAATTAGCCAATGCTAACATATAGCATTGGCAGACCTCTCAAAAACGTCTTTACAGGATGGACCAAAAGTTGGCTCTTGGCCCAAAGCTCCGTTCCACATGTGTGTCAATGCTGAGGGGGTGAATTTTTTTGGTCCACTCTAGTTTACTTGCTGTGAATTTTTGAAGTCTCTCGTTCAAATGAATGGAGTTGCGCCGGCTGACGCATGCGCAGATGCGTTTTTTCACAATTTTCTTGTGGGCGGGACCACTCGCGGCCATTTTGGATTGCTCCAGTAGAGTACATTTTTTGGCCCATTAGTTAGAACGGCGGAGATAGGCGTGACTCTGTCCGTTAATATATACAGTCTATGGTAGCTCCTCACACTCCTCGCAGCTGGTGCAGTGCTCGTGAGACACCAACCTACAAGTCGGCGCCAAGACCGAGTCTGCATTTGCAGTTTATGGTGCCAGGGTGAGGTTGGTCCTGGCCCTCTTCTGGATCAAACGCAGCTTCAAACTTCTGTGTTGACGCTTCACTCGCTGACAGTACATAATCGTTACAGTCAGATAACTGACTTTTTCTAATCAGAAAATAAGACCTGCACCTGCAGATCCACCACGGTCCATACACTGTTTTTATTTTGTGCACAGGAAATAGTTTTCTGTGTGCTGGGACCCCAATAGCACTGCCCAATTGCTCATGCGCGCAACTTAGAAGGAAGACTGACTGTAACACAGGTGTAATGTGAGGTCTGTAACACACATTTAAGCATTGCATTGGTGACCCCGCCCCTCTCCACAGACCAGCCAATGTCAGCGCTCCAATGCAGAAGTCGGCCTCTGTAGGCGGAGAGATGTGTTCTTTGTCCCGAAACAATGACGATGATGATGACGACCGAAAGAGGAGGTCAAGTTTCAGCCAAAAGATGTTGGGGATGGTAGGACTTGGCAAGAGCCAGAGCACAACCAACCTGAACCCAGAAGGTACAGCTACTGCAAGTGGAAATGATATGGCTAATGCTACTGGTGATGTCAGTCATAGCGCTGCGACTGCTACTGAGAGGGCTAATGCTAGTGTAAATGCTAGCGCTAATGCTACTGGCAGTACAAATACTAGTGCTGCTACTGCTAGTGCTAATATTAGTCCTACTACTACTACTAGTGTGTGCGTCTTTGTGTGTGTTTTGATCGTCTGTTGATTGTGTCTCTTGATTGTATGCCTGTGTGTGTTGATTGTGTCTCTGTCGTGATTGTGTGTTTCTGCAGAGGAGGAGAAGAAGAAGAAAGTTGTGCGTTTGCCCGTGCAGAGGAGTATTGAGACCGGTCTGGCCATCGACTTCAAAGCAAAGTTCACAAGACAGGCGTCAAAAGACCCAGACGCCGATGACCCCAAGCCTGGAGCGTAAGTGACCCTGAACCAGAGTGTGAGCGACCCCTGAGTGTGAGCGACCCCCGAGTGTGAGTGACCCCTCATCTAGAGCGTAAGCTTTAACCTCATGTACCCCAGCTTAAACTTCACGTACCCCAACTGAATTCTGCTGCTGTTTGTTTCAGCCTCATTTTTCCCGGAGTGAAAATCGCAGCAGATAAAAACTTCACTGGTTTCCTCGACAACCTCGGGCCTGCCCAGGTCGCAGGCCGCCAGACCTTAGCCACACCCTCAATGGGTATGTCACATGGTCCCCTCTTCTGTACAAGCCTTGTAGCTGCCAAAACTTGCCCTGTGCAAGGTCCGCAGGATGTAGTGTGTTGGCATCTCGGGCGCGCGCCTCTCACCATCAAAACAGAGCGAAATACCGTGTTCCACAATCATTTATTGGAGCCAAGTACACATTTATTACACTGTAGACTGAGGTAACAAACAACGGTGGAAAGATGTTTGCCTCCACACTACAACTGTCTGTCACTAGTGCCCCACTTATATAGGGCATGCAATAGAGGTGGCGCCACCCAGTGGTATGAGGAAGCAAAGGAAAACATGGCAAAATGGCTCCAAAAAGCCTGTATCCTGTTCTCTGATTGACCATCACCTCTCTGATTGGTTAGGAGACATCCAGTTGGGAATGGTTTACAGAAAAGAGCGCTTGGACGTCGAGGTGATTCGTGCAAGAGGACTGTCAGCCAAACATGGCAACAAGAACACACCAGGTAACCATGGCAACACTAACACACGCATACACACACACACCATAGACTGTACATATTAATGGACTTAGTCACGCCTATCTCCGCCCATCCAATGGGCCAAAAATTGGGCTTTCATGGAGTGATTCAAAATGGCCGTGGGGGCTGGAAAATGTGAAAAAACGCATCTGTGCATGCGTCAGCCGGCACGAGCCCCATTCATTTGAACGAGTGCCTTCAAAAATTCACAGAGACTAAACTAGAACTAAAAAATTCACTCCCCTCAGCATTGACACACTTATGGATGGTCCAACTTTTGGACCATCCTGTAAAGGTGTTTTCTAAAGGTCTGCTAATGCTATATGTTAGCATTGGCTAATTCTTAACCGGAGCCACCCCCATCGGCCCGGGGTGGTATTGCAAGCATGTCAGCGCACTTCATTTTGGCCACTTTTGAGCTGGGACCCGCCCCCACTGACACACACACACACACACACACACTCTGTCTCATATCTCTGGTCTCTTGCAGCTGCCTATGTGAAGGTGTATCTCATGGACAACGGGAAGTGTGTCCTGAAGAGAAGAACTCGTCTGTCAAGGAAAACTCTGGATCCACTTTATCAACAGCAGCTTCAGTTTGAGGAGAACCCAGAGGGGAAGGTCCTGCAGGTCTGGACGAGAAACAGGACAATACAGGACTTAACTGGGATAAAAAGGGACAAAGCAGGTCTGAAGCACGACTGAAACTGGACTACAGTGGGTCTAAAGCAGGACTAAAGCTGAACTAGAGACAGACTAAAGCAGGACTAAAACAATTCTTATTATAATAGTATATATTTATGGCTTCCAGGTGATCGTTTGGGGCGACTACGGCAGAATGGACCATAAATCATTCATGGGAGCAGCTCAAATCCTATTGGACGATCTCGACCTGTCCAACATGGTGCTTGGCTGGTTCAAACTGTTTCCTGCAATCTCATTGGTTGACCCGGGGCTTGCTCCACTGACCAATAAGGAGACAGAGGGAGCCAAGGCCTTCATAACTCCCACCCCTGTCGCTCCGGCAACCCCTGCCAAAACCTGAGACAACAGCCAAACACAGAGGAGGGCCAAGGAGGGCCCAATCACACCAACTGTTATAGTTAAACGCACGTTAGCAACATAGCTGCTAGCTACAACAGCTAATTGTAACAGGCAAAAAAACATGGTGTTTGAAGACTTTATTTAAAAACAAAATGACAAATGTTTATTTTTCAGTTTTATATAAATATGTAAACATATGCTCTGTTCTGTGATTGGTCAGTCCTTCTGTCATCTGGAAGCTACTCTGATTGGTCAATCTGGAGCCTTCTGCATGAAAGCTTCTTTGTGATTGGCAGAGTGGAAAAGGGTCATGAGGTCACGCAGCCGCTGCTCCACCTGTTCAAGCGTCTTGTCCGGTAGCTGTGAGGACACGACTCCAAATGTCTTACGATTGGCCCCTCCCTTCTGTACGGCCAATAGCAGCTTCCGGTCCGCTTTCCTGTGGTGGTTAGTGTGAGAACACATTAGCATTAGGACACAATAGCATGGGCTCAGTAGTGTGTGTGGTGCTGTGAACATGTAAAATTCTGTATAAACTAAATAAACTTTATTTATGTAAAAAAGGTACGTCTGATTCTTTTACGGGTTGTATTCAGATGGATAATGCTAACCCGCTAGCTCAATAGGGAAGAGTCATGGTGAAGTTTTGCTCCAACTCTCTCTGGTTCCTATTGACTTACATGTAAAAGTAAATGTTAGCTCGGTATCTGTTTGTGTCACACTTACACAGATATAAACAGATATAAGCCCAAAATTGTATCTATTGTGATATTGTTTTTGTAAATCCAGATGCATCTTACCAGGATTGTAGCCTTTATCTCCTATCTGAATCGTGACTACGTGACAACATACCCACCCCCGTGTTTTGGGGGTGGGCACCAATAAGCTTTTGCTTCGGCCCACTCCTTTTGAGCAGTACTTGTCTGCTCAAATAAACAAATAAATAAATAAATAAAATAAATACCCGATTCAGCTGTAGCATCACCAGCTTCTCTCATAGACTGTATATATAAACGGACAGAGTCACGCCTATCTCCGCCGTTCTAACTAATGGGCCAAAAAATGTGCTCTACTGGAGCAATCCAAAATGGCCGCAAGTGGTCCCGCCCACAAGAAAATTGTGAAAAAACGCATCTGCGCATGCGTCAGCCGGCGCAACTCCATTCATTTGAACGAGAGACTTCAAAAATTCACAGCAAGTAAACTAGAGTGGACCAAAAAAATCCACCCCCCTCAGCATTGACACACATTTGGAACGGAGCTTTGGGCCAAGAGCCAACTTTTGTTCCATCCTGTAAAGACATTTTTGAGAGGTCTGCCAATGCTATGTTAGCATTGGCTAATTCTTCTTCTAGGTCCACCCCCATCGGCCCGGGGTGGTATTGCAAGCATGTAAGCGCACCTCATTTTGGCCACTTTTGAGCTGGGACCCGCCCCCACTGGCTTCTCTATTGCCAGTGCTGACAGAGACACAAATGCCGCTTTTCCACAGTAACGGCACGGCAGGGGTTCCCAAAGTTTATAACCCGCAACCCCCATTATAAATGCGCTGCTCCCCCACGACCCCCCACCTCAACAGTCCTTCACGTCACATGAAATGAGCACGTATTTCCTTGATTCAGAGTAACGCTTTATAGAGACTCGCGTAGGGTTGCCAACTTGAGAACAAAAAAATAAGGGACACCATTTGGGTGGATCGGGTCATTCCTTTAAGACTGCAGAAAGCATTTTCAACAACCACTCGCGCTGTACTGATTTTTTTATTAAATACTTGCTGTTCGTCTGTCACTAACCCGGTGTCCTGAAAAGGTTTTAGGGGCCAGTTCTGCAGAGGGTAAGCAGAGTCCCCTAGGAGGTAATAACCAGCTATCACCGATATTATAATAAATCATCCACCACACCAATGTTACTGGTTACACGTACATGAAGTGGTCTGACAATCCTTCCCACGCTGAAGAGGTTCCATTTTGAATGGAAAAGCACCCGCACACGGCCGTGCCATACCGTACCGTGCCGTACAGTGACTATGGAAAAGCGGCATAAAGCAAAGAGCGGTGGACTTGCCATGCTTGTCAACAACAAATAGTTCCGTCCTGGTCACATAACCATGAAACACAAGAGCTTTTTGCTAATGTATTCCAATGTGGTTTTTTTACTGCAAATGGCAAATAAAACTGAATCTGAATCTGAAAAGAGCTGTTGATGGGATGTTGAACAGCTAGTGGTTGGCATTCAGCCCTACCATCTTCCACGGGAGTTCTCTCACATAGTTGCCATTATTGTTAATATTCCTCCTCATGCTGAGCCGGTGTAACGTCAGTTTGCACTGTATTGTCGAGATATACAGTGTCAGCTGTATTGCAAACGTGCGCATGCGCTTCTCATGACGGAGATAAAGTCTGAATTGCTTTAAAAGTTTAAATACGGGTTATAAGATTCAAAGTTTTGTGTAAAGTTTGGTTTTAGGAGTAACTGTCCCTTTCTTGTCAAGTTAGACTGCTGCATACGTCATTTTACTGACATAGGCCGATGACGTGCCTATGGCAAACTCGACAGCTAATAGCTTAAAAATAGTCTGTTGGGTTGATAATGGAAATTATAAACAAAATCTAACGCAGTTGTAAGCTAGCAGCTGTCGAGTTAGCCACAGGACGCGTATTGGCCTAACTGCTAATTTACACATCACGCGTTACAGCACGTACGCGTTATACGCGCAGCAGACGCGCGTAACTTTTTTCCATGTTAACCTATGATGATATTTACACTTCTAGCGTTATACGAGTGTATGACGGACGTATGACGCGAAGCCGCGCTCTAATTTAGGATGGATTTCTAATTTTGTGCGCGCACCAACGCGTCTCCCATTGAAATCTCATGTAAAACATGATTTTTCTAGCGGTCCTTGGCTCTAGATCGCATCTACACACACACAGCACTTGTGTCTAAACATCAGCAGGAGGAGCAGGTTTTACAGTGATTCTGGACATCAATTTTTTTCTTTCATAAAGTCTGGCGTCTGGCCAAACCAGCGCACAGAGACCATGAAGACAAACACATGCATGTGATTTGTGTTGCTCTACATCAGTCCTCTGGCTCGTACTGTCCTCTACACTGCTCCATAGACTACACAGGGAGAGCATCAGAAGCCGCGGACCTGCACGCACGGTCAGTGTAGATACTCCAAAAAAATGTTACGCGCAGAGAGCGCGCAGTAAACGCGTACGCGCTGTTTACGCCTACTGTGTAAATTCCCTGTAAGTCAGTAAAATGACGTATGCGGCAGTCCAACTCGACAAGAAAGGGACGCCATCACATATAGCGTCATATAAAGACTGACCTATCAGGATCCTTCATTCACTGGGCAACTGTCTTAGCTTTGCATTGTAACAAGGTCAGACGTGTTGCTAACCCCACAGAATCAATGCCATAAAAGAAAATTGGCTTTTCTCACCTGCTCCACACAACTCTTTCGCCGCTCTCTGCTACACACACATTCTGAGCTAAAACAACTTCATCCGAGGTGATGTCACTTCCTGTCTTGTCCTCCATCTCTGCATCGTGATTGGATGAGGGACTTCCTGTGTCGGTCTCTGATAGGTGCAGGGTGAATTCATCCTCTTCCCCCTGCTCTGTTATTTGACGGCTGTCAGGGGGCGGGTTCAGAAGGACAAACCCAATTCTTCGAAACTCCAGCTGCTTTTTAGGAAGTGTGGGCGGGTAGGTGCTTCCAGGAGGAAATACCCTGGACCAATCAGAGCGCAGCAGACTCCGGTGACTGGTGCGGGCCTTAGTGACAAGGGGTGGAGCCTGGGTGCAGGGGGGCGGAGTATCAGAGTTTAAACGCCAAAGTGCGGCGTGCAGCACAGGGATGCTCCTCTGTAACATACATGTTATAAATGTGAGCCCCTCTGCATTTGAGCCCCTCTTTCTGCATATGTTACTCACATTGAGCCACAGGGGGCAGTGTTGGCCTCTCTCCACAGGGGGGCACAGCTCCATCTGAGGTGAACAGGCTTTAGGCATAGGCATGAGGAGGCTCTTTAGCCGGTACGCCTGCAACACAGCTGCGTTAGCTAACAGGCTAATGTGTGGACGACATTTTAGCCCCATGTATCTTTTATAATATCTGGATAGGGTATTTATAGCTTGTAACTGTCCCACCAATGGGCACAAGGGACGCACAAGCCATTGATTTGAATAGGGCGCCATCTTGGCTCACCAGGGCTTGATTAGCCCACAGAATGGGTAGAGAGACAGTGTTACCTTCACAACATTGTCCCTGTTGCCGGGACGACAGCATTCCAGTATTCGTCGTCGAACCTGAGGCACGGTTTTCCTCAAAACAAAATCCGAAACCAGTTTCACTGGATCTGAGGTCCCACGGAAAGACCGAAGACCTAGAACCAGGAGACTGAAAAACCATCACAAGACCAGGGTTAAGACTGAAGACCAGGTGACTGAAACAAGACATAGTTGTGTAAACAGGAGTGTGTGTATTTGTAAAGGTGTGTTTGAGTGTGTGCGTGTGTGTGTGTGTAGTCACCAGTCCTCAGCTGCAGTGAAGACCTCTTTCCTCCGGGGGCAGTACAAAGCAGGGTCCAGGCTCACACACGGCAGCAGTTCAGGGTAGAGGAAGAGTGAGCGAGTGGCAAAGAACCATGCAAGGTCAGCGGGCATGAGCGGGAAGGCCTTCACTGTGAGAGACAGACCACACTGTAACAACGGAGTCACTGTAACCATGAAAGACACTGGTCCTACCGTTTCCCCTCGGGTCGACTCGGGGTGGGTCAGGTCTATAATTCACTGGTTGCACTCTGGTTTCTTCCAGCAGCTGCAGCGCCCCCTGCAGGTTACACACTCTGAATGCGCTGCTGCGTTGGCGCCCATCAGATGACATCATCAACTCTGCCCCCTGGCCCAGGAAGTCCAACTCCATCTGAAAACCATGAAATCTATAATAACTGGATAGGGTATAGCTTATAGCTGTCCCACCCATAAGCACAGGGGGTAATTTTCCAGGGCCGTGGAGTTCCTGCCTCCACGGCAGGAACTTCCCCCATAGGGTTATTTACAGGAACTTTTACGGGTCCCAACGGAGTCCCTCCTCCATGCTAGGTACTCCGTTGGGTCCTGAACAGCTCCTGGTGGGACTTGCGCTAAACCCAGCGCTGATTGGCTAAAGCTAGCACAGGCTCTGACGCCATCAAAAAGCATCAAAACAACCTTCATTTTAAAAATCCAGCAGCATTGGCCTAGTAGCATTAGCCTAGTAGACATCACTGGAAACCGCAAACAACAGCAACATCTACCATAAAGGATGATGAGGTGCAGATGAAAAGAAAAGAAAAATTAAGATATTTCAGCTTCATCTCAATACACTAGGGATTCATCACACTCTAAAACGAGCCGAGAAAAGTTTTACAAAACTGAAGCAGGACCACAAAAATATTCAAAGACCACAACAACCTGAGCGGTTACGACCGTAAAATAAACAAATGGGTGTGGCGTAATAAGTTTCATTTATGCGTCAATCGAAACTCTTGACGTCGCCGAGGGGTCCTACTCTGCAGTGTAGACCACTGGGAGGACCGAGGGAGAAGACAGTTCCTGTAGGAGATCTACCCTGCTCCTTTTACCACACAATACAATACAATACAATTTATTCTTGTATAGCCCTAGGTCACAACAGAAGTAATCTCAGAGGACTTAACAAAACCATTGAAATCACCAACACAGGTCAGAGAATCAACAGTTAAAACACATGAAGAATATAAAGCACACACAGAAGAAAATGTCCATACATGTTGTAGAATGCTAAAGTGTCCTGATCATCACCAATCCTTTCTGTTGGACACTAACTGTCCAACAAGACCCTCCTGCATCCACAAGGAACAACTCTTAAACCCAGTGGGAAAAAGTGAGAAACCTTGGGGAGAACTAGGGAAACCCACAGGGAGGGAGACCCATATGAGAAAGGGATCCGCTCCTCCGGACGGACAGGCTAATGATCTAGGACCTAAGCTAGCTACAGAACGTGGACCAGTGGCCGCTGAACGTGGACAGGTTACCAGGGAAACTACTGCGGTGGAAACGCTGCTTATATTAATGTGGGCTACCCAGACATTATCCCTATAGAATTCAATGTAAACTAAAACAGTTCAACCTCAGCTGAGAGAACCCACAGCTTTCATAAAGATCGGATTCTAGTGTTCCTTGTTGTCCTGAACTTTTTTTCTTCTTTAAATCCACACTTTACTGCAACAAACTCTGCTTCATCATTTTTTTTTCCCTGTTCTGGCTCTGTTCTTGCTCAACTTTGATCAGTAGCTCTGATTGGTCAAAGCACAGCCAAGCCCCTCTGTGCACGTCCGAGAGAACCAGACACGTGTATTTGGCGCAACGCATCATGGGAGCCGGTCCACTGCGCTCTCTCGGTCCCTGCATGTGTCTCATGCGCTACTGAGAACAAGCTATTCATTTGAACAGGGCGCCATGGGGCTTGATAATAATAATAATAATGCATCAGTTTTATATAGCGCTTTTCTGGACACTCAAAGACGCTTCACATGTGTCATTATTCTTTTACTCCATACACGGTGGTGATGAACTACTATTGTAGCCACAGCTGCCCTGGGGCACACTGACAGAAGCGAGGCAACCAGTCTGTGCCATCGGCCCCTCCGACCACCACCAACCATTCACACACACACCAGACTCATTCTAGGCAATGGGGGTGAAGTGTCTTGCCTAAGGACACAACGGCAGTTTGGCACTTTACAGCCGCAGCCGCCCCACTGTGGCAGGTGTGCCCAGAGGTTAAGTGTCTTGCCAAGGACACAACGATGATGAAAATAACCATCATCAAGCCCCGACAGAAACCATATGGTCGCCGTCCCGGGCCCCTGTCCCAGGCTCACCAAGAAGTCCCGGGTGGTCTGGGCCTGGTCCTTCAAACTTGACACTGGAGCACACAGCAGGTGGACCTGAGTGAGGAGCTGGACATGCTGCAAGCAAAGAGGACAGAGGTCAAGGGTTAGACTAGAACTTGTAGCAATACATAGTACTTGTACCTGCTAGACCAGCTGTGGTACTAATAATAGTATTATTATTAGTATTAATAATAATAATAAATCAGTTTTATAAATCTTTTTTTGGACACTCAAGGACGCTTTACATGCCATTACTCATTCACTTAATACACATTTATACACAGTGGTGATAAAATACTACTGGAGCCACAGCTGCCCTGGGGCACACTGACAGAAGCGAGGTAACCAGTATGTGCCATTGGCCCCTCCGACCACCACCAACCATTCACACACACACCAGACTCATTCTAGGCAATGGGGGTGAAGTGTCTTGCCAAGGAAACAATGACAGGAGACATCAGTGGGAGTCGGTGGAGAAAGTCTTGTGGTGGGCTCGACCCCACGACCTTCTGGCTCAAAGGCCAATACTCTACCAACTGAGCTACTGTCGCTCACTTGTACCTACTGGACCTTCTGTAGTAGGTTAGTTTTGTTTTTTTATTTAAAGTGACAAGGACAGTGTACAATAAACATTAACCTCAAAGGGAAAGTTGCATTGTACCAGGTTATAGCTCAAGAGCTAATTTACACCCACAGTCCCTGGGTAGGCTGATGTTATATTACATAAAAATAAGAAACATACATGAATACAGTTTACATTCCTGAAGATGTGAGACAGGCCTCCTCTCTGACAATGTTTAAAACCAAGTTAAAAACAGTGCTGTTTAGCTGTGCATACAACTGAGGGATTTTATATTTTTATCTTTCGTTTTAATGTTCTGTGATTATTTATGATTTTAATGCTATCTTGTTCAGCACTTTGAGTTGCCTTGTGTATGAATTGTGCTATACAAATAAACTTGCCTTGCCTTACATTGGCCAAAATACTGTACAGACCAAAAGTTTGGACACACTTTCTCATTTAATGAGTTCCCTTTCTTTTGATGACTATTGACTGTCGATTCACAACCAGGCTGTGTAAGGGGTATTTGACCAATAAGGAGAGTGATGGGTGCTGGGCCAGATGACCTGGCCTCCACAGTCACCGGACCTGAACCCAATCCAGATGGTTTTGGAGTGAGCTGGACCACAGAGTGAAGGCTAAAGGTCCAACAAGTACAAAGCATCTCTGGAAACTCCTTCAAGACTGTTGGAAGACCATTTCAGGTCACTGCCTCTTCAAGCTCATCAAGAGTGTGCAAAGCAGTAATCAAAGCAAAAGCTGGCTACTTTCAAGAAGAGAGAATATCAGACATATTTTCAGTCGTTTCATAAATTTTTTTGTACGTACATCATTCCGTACAAAAACTTAATACAGCTTCAATGCCTTCAGTGTGAATCTACAATTTTCATAGTCATGAAAATAAAACAACTCTTTGAATGAGAAGGTGTGTCCAAACTTTTTATCTGTACTGTACATAAAAGATCAAGCACACACGCTCACGAACACGCACTGGACACTGCTGGACTAGCTGTTGTACTTGTAGTACTTGTACCTGCTGGACTTGCTGTCTGAGCCGCTCTCTCTCCATCTCTCTCATGAAAAGATTCTCAGACTCTTCCACTTCACTTCTCTTTTTTGTCTTCATCATCGTTTGCTTCATATTTTTCTGCAGGAACTCAAGCTGCTGTCGAACAGTCTTCAGTACAGGGGGCTGGACCAGGGGCATGACTGGGGGCTGGACGGAAGTCTGGACCAGAGCCTGGATTGGGGGCTGGGCAACAGTCTGGATCAGGACTGGTGTTTCAGAGAGTCTGGACCTGGGATAAGCAGTAGGAGTGGTGGGTCAGTAAAGTGAGAGTATATAGTCTGCCTCACTGTGGTTACGTAGTAGTAGTAGTAGTTGTACGTAGTAGTAGCAGCAGCAATGTACCGTGCAGTTGTCTCTGTCTCCTCTTCCTCTTCATCCACGTCTTGAGACGCTAGGTCATCCTTTAACTATGAAGAAAAGAACAAATCAGATCCAAGATGGAATACCCCAAAAAGGTTGGTACTCTGCAATAATTGATCAGTTTCGAAAAAATGCCTGGGGGCAAGTCAAGAAAGAGTAAAGCTGTGGGTACAGCGCAACGTTTGGCCATTGATTTGAAGATGAGTTTTTCCTTGCCGATGTAGGACGGTCTGTTGGACAGTTAGTGTCTAACAAAAAGGACTGTGGTGATGATCCAGGACACTTTAACATTCTATGTCTGTATGGACATTTATCAACATGTGTTCTGTATTCTTTTTTGTCTTAGTCGTTGATTTCAATGGTTTTGTGAAGTCCTCGGAGATTACTACTGTTGTGATTTAGGGCTATACAAGAATAATTTGTATTGTATTGTGAGGTGGAAGATAAACAGGGGAACTCGCCCTTGAGGACGACGAAGATGAGCCTGCTGTCCTACTTAGAATTCTCCGGGAGATCAAATACTTTAGACACGAATACAAGCAACAGCTTTTGGAAATTCAAAGTAACCAACCACAGACGGACGCCAGAGTGACACAAGCTGAAGCACGATTTGATTTAGTGGAAATGGCTCTGGGTGAAAGACGCTCATATGCAACTGTGGAGGCACCATGGAGGCTCACACACGGCGCGATAACATCCATATATACTGCATCCCCGAGTGAGCAGAGGGTACTAATACAGTATTGTTTTTCTGGAAAATATCCTGTGCGACTCTCTTGCCTTACCACATGAAACTGACTTTCAGATTGAAAAGGCGCATCGTGCCCTGGCCCCAAAACCTGCTGGGGAGCAGACATGGCCACGCTCAATCATTGTTGCTCATCAATTATTGTCAAGTTTTCAGGCTTCAGGGTCAAGGAAGAAGTTATAAGAATTGCCTGGCGTATATATGTTTTATATTATATTATATATATATATATATATACAGTAAAAAAAGTAGGCAAAAAAGTTTAGTCAGCCACCGATTGTCATTATTTTAAGTGGGAGAACTTGCACAGAGGTCTGTAATTTTCATCATAGGTACACTTCAACTGCGAGAGAGAGACAGAATGTGAAAAAAAAATCCAGGAATTCACATTGTAGGATTTTTAAAGAATTTATTTGTAAATTATGGTGTAAAATAAGTATTTGGTCAATAACAAAAATTCAACTCAATACCTTTGTTGGCAATAACAGAGGTCAAACGATTACTATAGGTCTTTACCAGGTTTGCACACACAGTAGCTGGTATTTTGGCTGGTATTTTCCTCCATGCAGATCTTCTCGAGAGCAGTGATGTTTTGGGGCTGTCGCCGAGCAACACGGACTTTCAACTCCCTCCACAGATTTTCAATGGGGTTGAGGTCTGGAGACTGGCTAGGCCACTCCAGGACTTTCAAATGCTTCTTACGGAGCCACTCCTTCGTTGCCCGGGCCGTGTGTTTGGGATCATTGTCATGCTGGAAGACCCAGCCACGTTTCATCTTCAAAGCTCTCACTGATGGAAGGAGGTTTTGGCTCAAAATCTCCCGGTACATGGCCCCATTCATTCTTTCCTTAACACGGATCAGTCATCCTGTCCCCTTAGCAGAAAAACAGCCCCAAAGGAAGTTTCCACCCCCATGCTTCACAGTAGGTATGGTGTTCTTGGGATGCAACTCTTTCTCCAAACACGACGAGTTGAGTTTATACCAAACAGTTCTACTTTGGTTTCATCTGACCACATGACATTCTCCCAATCCTCTGCTGTATCATCCATGTGCTCTCTGGCAAACTTCAGACGGGCCTGGACATGCACTGGCTTCAGCAGGGGGACACGTCTGGCACTGCAGGATTTGATTCCCTGTCGTCGTAGTGTGTTACTGATGGTAACCTTTGTTACTTTGCTCCCAGCTCTCTGCAGGTCATTCACCAGACCCCCCGTGTGGTTCTGGGATTTTTGATCACCGTTCTCATGATCATTTTGACCCCACGGGATGCGATCTTGCGTGGAGCCCCAGATCGAGGGAGATTATCAGTGGTCTTGTATGTCTTCCATTTTCTGATAATTGCTCACACCAAGCTGCTTGTCTATTGTAGATTCACTCTTCCCACTCTGGTGCAGGTCTACAATTCTTTTCCTGGTGTCCTTCGACAGCTCTTTGGTCTTGGCCATAGTGGGAGTTTGGAGTCTGACTGTTTGAGGCTGTGGACAGGTGTCTTTTATACGGATAACGAGTTCAAACATCCATCCATCCATTTTCTACCCCTTAATCCATTTCTGGGTCAGGGGGGTGGCAATCAGAGATGCCACCCAAGTCTCATAGCACCAGCCCCTCACTGATCCTCTGCAGGTGGTGAGTCCACAGGAGGACGGCTGCTCTCTGAGTGTGAGCATAGCCTTGGTGCCAAACAGGTGGCATTAATACAGGTAACGAGTAGAGGACAGAAGAGCTTCTTAAAGAAGAAGTCACAGGTCTGGGAAAGCCAGAGATCTTCCTTGTTTGAAGTGACCAAATACTTATTTTCCAACATAATTTACAAATAAATTCTTTAAAAATCCTACAATGTGAATTCCTGGATTTTTTTTTCACATTCTTTCACAGTTGAAGTGTTCCTATGATGAAAATTACAGACCTCTATCATCATTTTAAGTGGGAGAACTTGCACAATCGGTGGCTGACTAAATACTTTTTTGCCCCACTGTACATTTCCAAATGTACTATGCTTTATTTCCGCTATGAGAAGTTGAAATCCTACGTCTTCAATATCAAGGTTCCTGCATGCCTTTACGGGATGTGATTTGGTGTCCAGGATATTCGGAATAGGAAAGAAGGACAGACTGATCAAAAGAATTCTCTCTACCAAAGCAAAGCCAGGATGTTGTGGAAACCAATGGTTGTAAAGAAATGGTAGCGTTGTTCAAGGCGGATCAGAAGGACTTCCTGGCATCTATTAGATACAATATGTTCTGCAAGAAAGTTGCGAGAGCTAAGACGTTCGTCACGCCAGAACAACTCCCACCAACGGCCTTTGCCTGTAAATTTCATTCTTTGTGGACTTAATACCAGGTTATGGAGTGGATGGTATGTAGTAATGAAATGGTGTTATCTGAGTGGGGGTGGAAGGTGAAAGGGGACAAACTTGTTCCAGTGATGACGAACAAAAGCCCTGCTCCAAATGCACTGATTAAGATAATTCATTGCAACTGTTTGGAAGGATGTAATACCCTAAGACAGGGGTCTCAAACCGCTTCCAGAAAGGGCCATGTGGCTGCAGGTTTTGCTTCCAACAGCTCCAAACTGAGTAGGAGCACAGATGACTCCACCCATTTCCTCAAATCTTCAGGTTACTCACCTGACTCACCTGAGGAAATGGGTGGAGTCATCTGTGCTCCTGCTCAGTTTGGAGCTGTTGGAACTAAAACTTGCACCCACATGGCCCTTTCTGGAACCGGTTTGAGACCCCTGCCCTAAGGTGTACCTGCAGGAGGCATAGACTAGAATGTACCAGTGCATGTGGGCATTGCCAAGATGGAAATTGTGACAATATGAAAAATGATCCAGTGATAGATGAGGATGAGGTGTTGAAAGTTTTGAAAAAGTACTGTGACGTAAGTGAATCAGTGTGGGTGCAACAAGGTAAATGGGGGTTGGAGTACCCCTTGATGTGGTATAAGGGTTTATTTGGCATCACTGGTAACCCTTCCATGTGAAAGATTGACCCTGAAAACCTGGATAAAAATACAAATGTATTGATTTATCATGAAAACTGACCAAGTTGGTGCTTCACACGTAAATGGAAAATTACTTTTAAACCGAAATAGTCATCTCCAAATTTTGACACTTTCCCATACTCCGATTTTGTCCAACTTTTAGTATGTTATAGACTAGACCCAGTCTAACATAAAACCACCAAAAATAAAAAAAATGCTATTTTTTTGGGTCAATTAGTATATTGACCCTACTATACTCACTTAACATCTAGAATTCCCAATCACCAATTGATTCAATGCAAATGTATACATAGGACCATCTGCATCCAAGAATACTACAAAAGATAAAAGACAATCCTTATTGTGAGTACTGCTCTGACAATAACATGGGAACTTTCCTCCACATGATTTGGCAATGTTGAGCAGTTTTGGAAGAATATCTCCATTTGTCTCTCTGACATTATGGGTCATAGTATACCACACGCTCTGAAGTTATTAGTATTAGATGACACTTCTGCTCCAAAAATGTTTTTAGTATGCCACGTCTGAGCATGAAGGAATGGCTTTCCTCATTCAGGGAGATCGTCCAATGAGAACTTTCTGGTGCTCGCATTCACAAAGCCACAATCGAAAACATAACTTTGTCAAATTTAATGTAAAAACGTATTTATTTTTTGGACTTATTACTTTGTATTTTAGTATCTCATCCTCCTGCAATACATATGTGGCGGCACGGTGGCTGAGTGGATAGCACTCTCGCCTCTCAGCAAGAAGGTCCTGGGTTCGAATCCCGGTTGGACCAGGGCCTTTCTGAGTGGAGTTTGCATGTTCTCCCCGTGTCTGCGTAGGTTTCCTCCGGGTGCTCCGGTTTCCCCTACCATTAAAAATATGTACAATAGGTCCGGCATGTGCCTCCTGTACTGGCACCCCCACTCCCAAAAATCACAATTGTAAACCGCTTTGAGACTCCGATGTGCAGTGAAAAGGCGGCATATAAATAAAAGGTTACTAGGTTACTTACTATATCATTTGAATGTCAAAATACATAGTAATATGTAATTAGCGGGATCCGTGGATGTCAATGACTGAGGAAACCAGCTTCTGTTATTTGTGTTTATATCTTAGAAGTAGCTATACCCAATTTTTTTTTTTTATGAGTTCATAAAAATGCTTATTACTACATACAAGTTGTATTATAATCAGTCATTTAATTGAAAACTTGAGCTCATCGATTCAGCTTGTATATGAATTCAGGCCGTATAAAAGTGCAATCACGGAATGATGAGCGAACACAGTAGCATGTTAATAGAAAGTGGATAGCTCCTCTGGCTGTAACTGCATACACAGCAAAACAGCCCAAATGACACATCAATGTGGAAGAGAAGAGGGAACTAAAGCAAAAAAAATGATCAAAGAAGAAATCAAGCCCAGGTGAACAGCTAGCTTACATCGTATCCTCTGGAGAGACTTGTCTATGGGAGAGACCTGGGGGACCTCGGACTATCTATGCTCGGACAACATTCGGACGCAAATCTAGCGGAAATCTTTCAGTTATATATTTTGTCAGCAGTGCGTTGCTTTTGTACCATTTCATCAGTGATTGTTGTACAGCTTACAAGAAATTGCGCTCATGGTAATGTTTCATACGCATCAGATCGCAAATAAAACTAGATGGCTTTGTGGGATGAGAGCGTCGGGGAAATGAGAGACCTGCGAGCGAGTTGAGGGGCGGTGCTAAAACATTCAAACTTTGCAGAAACCTTTAATCTGTGTATGTATGTATAGATTCACATGTGAATATTTTTTATTATTTGTTGCGGCTATTATCTTTTTAATGTTGGAAACAACAAAATAATGCATAGAATTGTAACTCATGTATTGTTTACTTGTTTATCCATTGAATAGCTAATGCCTGCCTGGAATATGTGTGTGAGTGTTGGAGGGGGAATCGAAAGGAAGGTGGGGTGGAAATGTAAAAAAAATTGTAAACACATAACATAGAACATGTAATCTGAAAAGCAAAATCCCATAAACATTTGATAAAAAAGTGTGGATAACTGGACAGATGCAGTAAACGGTATTCAGATACGGTATATTTTGTCAAAGTTTATACATTAAAAAGGGCCATATTTTGCTTTTCTTCATTATCTACAGTCCATCCTATGCACATGTGCGATAACAATTTGGGTGATGCACCGTACAACACTCAAGACCTGTCAAATTATAGCAATTTTGTGCATAGAGGTGCACGTTTCTGTGCCTCTCCAGAATGAATTGGAGAGAATGGTCTTTTACTAAAGCTTGACGGAATCAATGAAAAAACTACTCTGGGCATCAGTATGAAGGCCAAATAGCACTGTAATCAAGTTTAACCCAGAGAAAAGTCAAAAACATAATATGGGACGTTTACAACAATTGTTGAACATGAATGATGTGACAGAAAGTGATTTTGTATATTTTCTTTTATCATTACTACACTAAAAATGCATCGCTTGTTTGTTTGTTTATCTAAAATAAATAATATAAAATAATATATCTGTACCAATATTATTTTGTCTCAATATTTGAAAATAGAGATTTGAAAAAAAAAACAGAATAAATCAGATCTAAGGAGACACAAGGAGAAAACAGACACAGGGAGAACATGCAAACACAGACAGCAGGAGAACATGTAAACACAGCTCATGTCAGGGACCCTGTTGCTGTGACGTTCTTAGCACTCACCGTTTCAAAGAGCTCCTCCATAAGCTCGCTCACCTCCTTCTCTGAAACAAATAATAACTCCACTTAACAGCCTCAAGTGGAGAAAAGCGGCCTGCTCTGTACTTTGCTGCTGCATTACAAGTGGCATATGGGGGTTGTACTCACTGGTGATGCGCACTCCTCGGTCGTCTCTGTAATCCTCCAGATCTGGTTCATCACGATCAGCCAAAAAGTTATACTCAGGATCGTCGTCATCGTCAGCCTCCTCTGAAACACACACACGTTATACATGACAAACACATGCATGTTACGTACACACAGGGATCAGAGACAAAAGAAGCAGTCACCCTCCACATCAGAGGTCATCAGGCCACGGAGCCAGTCGGTCCAGTCCCGATCCTCCTCTGGGTCCTGGTCTGGGTCCTGGTCTGGGTCTGGGTCCAGAGAGGACCTGGTCTCATTAAAGTCCGGGTTCAGGACTCGAAGCTCCGCCTCCAGTCGCTCCAGAGGAACATCTGTGAGGGAATGCTTCGACCGAGTTCGAGAAGCCATCAGGTCTACGTCTTGCAGAGGCTGAAAGAAGAGGGGTAAGGAGAGCGGTCAAGATAATACAGTATGTAAGGGTTAGGCCCCGTCCCAATTCTCACCCTTGCCCTTAAAAAGCTAGCCTGACTCTCGCCAGACCCATGTAGTTTGCTGCACTTCACACATGAGGCTGGTACTGAGCCATAGTGGTTGGATTTCAGAACCCAAAGTTTGGTTGTACCCAACCAAACTTTACAGGAACATTTGACTCTTAAAAACACACATATATCAATATAGAACCATCAACATCTCGCCTCAAATTGCATTAAAAGTGACATCTGTGTCTTAATTCGATCGTATTTACTCTTTTAAAAAGATTCGCGGACTTTACGTCCGCCATCTTGGATTCCTCTCGCTGCTGCATGAGAAAAGCTTGAGAAGGCAGTGCAAACCCCACGTAACACCGGCAGTCCTGATTGGTCGATTAAAAAATAATCTGGGGAAGGCGTTCGCTATGGCGTCGATACCAGACCCATATGGTTCAGCCAAACGCCTCTGGTGGAGCATGGCGGAACTAAAAGGGTCTGGCAGAGCCAGGCTGTTAAAAAGCACCCTTGCCCTAGATTTTGCACGTGCCCACGGGGGTTGTAGGGTGTCCCAATATTTAGGGAGAAGAGGCCCTCACACCCTTAAAAACCACCCTTGAGCGCAAGTGAGGTCTGGAGCTCACTTGCGAGCGAGGGTGATCCCATAATGCATTACAATAGTTGTTGGTAAAGCAGCTGTCGGGCAAAGCCGCGCCACAATGAAAGAAAACAACATGAAACACCCGTGCAACTTTGTTCGGAACGGGAGGAAATTCTGAAGCGTGTGCGAGTCAGAGTTTTTAAAGCGTGTGTTGGTGCCGTGTGGTGACGTTCACTCCCAAAGCAGCCGCAGTGGGTGGCGTTCACTGAGGTTCAGAGATGTGGTGCATGTTATTATTATAGATCCATGATGTAGTTCAGAGCATCGCTTTGACAGATTGCTTTGTGATCCGCACGACTGCAGCTGTACCCGTCTGTCTCTGTGTGGTACGTCTCTGTGCGCTTATGTCTGTGTGCGTGTGCGTCTCTCTCTATGAGTGCATGATGTGTAGCAGTTCTGTACCTAATTTGAGCAAATCTTCATATGAAACAGAATTAAAAACGTCTAATTTTAATAAATACTGTGTTTCACAAAGTCATATCTGTGTCAGATCTTATCTGTGGTGAAATCAGACACATTGATAATGTGTGTGACGAGGAACACGTTTGCTGTGTCATTTGCATATTCTCCCCTAGATCCAGGGGTGTCCCAATTCTTAGGGAGAATATCCTGAGAGTGCACTCCCCTATGGGAAGGCACTTTTCTAGTAAGGGCACTCACACCTGGAGGACCCTTAGAATTGGGACAGGGCCTTAGTGTATAGGACTGAAAACTGCAGTCATCAGGCCCCTGCTAAAAAAGAGCAGTCTGGATGCTACGGTACTTAACAACTATCGTCCCATCTCAAATCTGCCATTTATGGGGAAAGTCCTTGAGAAAGTACTAGATTTCTTATAATCAACAACTCATTTGATATGTTTCAGTCCGGCTTTAGACCCCACCACAGCACTGAGACTGCTCTCGTTAAGGTTACAAACAATATCCGGCTGAACACTGACGCAGGCAAAGTCTCAATCTTTATCTTGTTAGATCTGAGTGCTGCCTTTGACACCGTCGACCATGAGATCCTCTTACAGAGATTAGAGGACTGGGTTGGCGTCGCTGGAACCGCCCTAAATTGGCTTAGGTCTTACCTTGAGGACAGGAAGTACTTTGTGGAGATTGGAAACTGTGTCTCAGATCATATGGCCCTGACCTGTGTAGTACCACAGAGGTCGATCCTGGGACCTCTTCTGTTCAATCTCTACATGCTGCCGCTAGGTCAGTTAATACGCAGAAACGAAGTTTCCTATCATAACTATGCAGACGACACTCAAATCTGCAGTGTCTTGCAAAAGTATTCAGCCCCCTTGAACCTTTCAACATTTTGCCACATTTCAGGCTTCAAACATAAAGATATAAAATTTTAATTTTTTGTCATGAATCAACAACAAGTGGGACACAATCGTGAAGTGGAGTGAGTTTGCTGCACTGAAAGTAAAGGGGCCGAATAATATTGCACGCCCCACTTTCCAGTTTTTTATTTGTTAAAAAAGTTTAAATTATCCAATACATTTCGTTCCACTTCACGATTGTGTCCCACTTGTTGATTCATGACAAAAAATTAAAATTTTATATCTTTATGTTTAAAGCCTGAAATGTGGCAAAATGTTGAAAGGTTGAAGGGGGCCGAATACTTTCGCAAGGCACTGTATGTCTCACTGACTGCAGGAGAACATGGACCAGTGGACTCACTCCTTCACTGTATCCAACAGATCAGTGAGTGGATGCAAAACAACTTCCTTCAGCTAAACGCGGACAAAACTGAAATGATTGTCTTTGGTCCCCAGAAACAAAGAGAGAGCGTCATCCGTCACCTCCAGTCTCTCTCCTTAAAACCTTCAAACAAGGTCAGAGATCTAGGGGTAATACTGGACTTGGACTTAAATTTTAATAGCCACATCAAATCAGTAACATCAGCAGCTTTTTACCATATAAAAAACATTGCCAGGATCAAAAACATAGTGTCTAAAGCAGACTTGGAGATTCTTATCCATGCATTTGTCTCCAGTAGGTTAGACTACTGCAATGGCCTGCTCACAGGTCTGACTAAACAGGCTGTAAAACAGCTGCAGTACATTCAAAATGCAGCAGCTCGAGTCCTGACTAGAACCAGGAAGTACGACCACATTAGTCCAGTTCTCAGGTCTCTGCACTGGCTTCCTGTGGCTCAGAGAATAGACTTTAAAACAGCTCTGCTTGTGTACAAGTCTCTCCATGGCCTCGCACCAAAATATATTAGTGACATGTTAAGGATATTGACCATGTCCCGCCCAGACTCGTGTTGGATCCCATTTGCAATAGTCATGGGGAGTATTTTCTTGATTTTTTGAGAGACTCAAAGTGCTGTATCTTAAATGGCAGATTTAAAGTGGAGGATGATAATTATACATCCGTTTCAGTTAGAGGCAAGGCCGTAGTGGATTATTTGGTGACGCCCCATGATTGTCTGGATTCCTGCCTAGAATTTAAAGTGATTACTGCCACAGATCTTATGGCTCAAAATGCAACAACATGTGTTTCCCTTATTGGCGATAGATGTCATTTACCTGATCATTCCTTGTTGATGTTAACTTTTAAAGTAGGAACGCAAATACCTCAAGAAAATGTATGTCTGCCCAAATGTACACAAAGAATAATCCCTGAGACCTTTCTTGCATCCACCAACTGTAAAGACTTGTTATCTGATTTAACAGAACATTTAAAACATTGTATAAATGACCAGGATCTAAATAAATGGTACGGTGAGTTTTGTAAAATGATAACTGATGAAATGATTTGCTATCATAAGAAACCTCTGAACAAAACACATTCCCATCCATCCATCCATCTTCTTCCCCTTAATCCATTTCTGGGTCGGGGGGGGGGGGGGTGGCAGTCAGAGCTGCACCCAATTCACTTAGCACCAGCCCCTCACTGATCCTCTGCAGGTGGTGAGTCCACAGGAGGACGGCTGCTCTGTCAGTGACGATACGGCCTTGATTTTTCAGCAGGGGCTTCAGGCAATGCAGGGTTAAGTGTCTTGCCCAAGGACACAACGACAGCAGTCATCAGTGGGAGTCGGTGGAGAAGGTCCCGTGGTGGGCTTGAACCTACAACCTTCAGGCTCAAAGGCCAGTGCTCCACCAACTGAGCTAGTGTCGCCCCCGACACATTCCCATCAATTGAATAGGTCCAGTCCCTTCTGGAATGGTCATCTTCAAAAACTATGGGATGAACGTAATAATGCAGAAAAAGAGTTTAAGTGTAAAGACTCTAAAGGCAAACAAGGTTTGAGGGACGAGTACAGGTGGAAACAGTCTCTTTATGACAAGCATTTCAGAACCTGTAAGAGAAGATTTCAAAGGGGCCAAGCATTAAAGATAGACGATTTACAAACTAACAACCCGCAACAGTTCTGGAAGCTTATAAATAAACTGGGGCCTCAAAACACAAAGAAAATTCCAATCGAAGTCATTCTAGACAATGGTGATGTGGAGCAAAAAGAGGAGAAAATTCTTGCAAAATGGCAACATGATTTTTCAGACCTTTATGCTGAGGGACTAGCCCCTGATTCCAACACTAGTAATATTTTGCTGACAACAAAACTAGACTTAGAAACAGTTATGTGTCAAGATTGTTATCAGCCAAATATGTTTTTGAATTTAGACATTACTGTGGAAGAAGTAGGTGATGCTGTGAATCGGGCAAAACTCAGGAAAGCAATGGGAATAGAAGACATCCCTAATGAAGTGTTAAAATCTCCACATCTCCTAAATATTCTCTTCTGTTTGTTCAAATTCTGTTTCGACAACAGCCTTATTCCCTCAGTGTGGTATAAATCCATAATCAAACCCATACCAAAAGCATCTAAAGATGATCCTAGAGTGCCACTTAATTATCGAGGGATAAGTTTGTTAAGTACAGGCTATAAAATGTATTCCAGTTTGTTAAATACTAGACTGACTGATTTTTTTGAAGATACCGAGTTGTTAGTGGATGAAAAAAATGGATTTAGAAAACACAGAGCATGTATTGACCACATTTTTGTTGTTTCAACTATTGTCAGAACCCGATTGGCTGAAAACAAATCCACATTTCTATGTTTTGTAGACTTTAAAAAAGCTTTTGATTGGGTAAACAGAGATCTACTGTATTTGAAACTTCTTCAGGCTGGGGTTGATGGGAGATTTTATAAAGCACTAAAATCACTGTATACAAACTGTATCGGATGCGTTCAATTAAATGAGCTCCAGACTGACTGTCTCCGAACCTGTTTTCACTTTTTTATCAACGACTTGGCTCTGGAAATAAAACAATTGAACATGGGTATCCGTATGGACTCTGACACAGCAGCCCTTTTGCTTTATGCTGATGATGTTGCACTCATGGCTGAATCAGAAGAGGACTTGCAGACCATGTTTAACGTGTTACGAGACTGGTGTTATAAGTGGAAACTTTCCATAAATCAAACTAAAACTCAGATGGTTCATTTTAGGAGGAAGTCAATCCCATTAAGCAAAAATGTTCTCAAGCTCGGTAACATAGCATTGGAATTCGTTCCCGAGTACAAATATCTGGGTTTCACATTTAGTGAGTTCATGAGTTTTGATTGTGGAGTCAAAGTTCTTGCGGACTCTGCCAGCCGTGCTTTAGGCTCTGTGATAAACAAATGTAAAGTATGTAAAGATCTTGGTTTTAGAACATACTCTAAGTTGTATGAGGCCTGTGTTTCTCCTGTTCTAAACTATGCTGCTGGTGTTTGGGGGGGCAGACAGTATTCAGCCTTAGATGCTGTAGAAAACAGAGCAATCCGCTTCTTTTTGAGAGTCCACAAGTTTGTTCCTGTTCTGGCTGCGCAGGGGGATATGGGCTGGGTTCCTGGCACGGTCCAAAGAAAATGTGACATGGTCAAATTGTGGAATCGAATCATTAACTCATTGAATGCCAGCCTATTTCAGAACAGGTACTCCCACAGTGCCAGCCATTTCTGATGATTTTTACTGATTTTTCAAGACCCACAGAATATTGTGTACTATGACTATACTCAGAGAGCAATGCTGCCACCTGCTGGCTCGATAAAATATGGTCTCAAGTCATCCCCATACATATTAGATACAATAGACATCTGGGAACGTGAAAATAGCGAAAAAGGCAATTGACGTATTTGTGCGTCAATGGGACACAATGAGTTAATATGCCAGACAACAGATTAACAAAAAAGGTCCTTAAATGGAGCAAAGCCATGTCCCCCTGGGCCGTAGAGCTTCGATCTGTGTTTGCTGAAGTGCAACTCCAATACGTTTTTCATAACAATCTGCCATGCAGCGTCAGTAGCATTAGAGCAAAACTAGTGGCCGATTTTGAAAAACAGTGGCAAATTGGAATTTTGACAAAACCAAAACAAAAAACATATATTCAGTTAAAAGAAAATTTCAAAACAGAGCTTTACGTCACAGCAAATTTGCCCAGGAATCAGAGATCTGTGATGGCTCAGTTTCGTACGGGAATTCTTCCATTAGCGCTAGAAACAGGGAGCTTTTCACAAACTCCTGAGGAGAAGAGACTGTGTTTATTTTGTGAACTCGATGAAGTGGAAAGTGAAGTGCATTTTTTGTTATATTGTCCTTTTTATGATGAATTTAGAAATGTGTTGTTTTATGAAACGTTCTCCCGGGATTCTGATTTGTTTTGGGGCAGTGATTATGACAAGATGACATTTTTATTTGAAAATCAAGTGTTTAAAGTGTCTTCATTTTTAGGTAAAGCTTGGAAGAAGCGGCAGTCTCATCTATTTAAATGAGAGCATTTGTGTTCGATTTTGTTTATGATTTTTTTGTATGATTCGGTGTATGTGCCGGTTGTTGGCCTATGTCTCTGTATTTGCATAAATGGTGTCTTATAAGCCCATGTGGGCTGGGCATCTTTGTATGCAAGACACTATAATAAATAAAAATCTATCTATCTATCTATCTGTCAGTACCATATGAACCAGCCCGGACTCTGAGGAGCACAGGGACTGTTACAGTGCTTTGTAACAGCTAGGCTAGTTAGTTAATTGTATTAAGCAGGACTTTCCTGTTCGAAATGAGGAACTGTGGTGTATCTCTGGGTGAGTTGAAAGTCAAACTCGAAGCAATTCTCCCAACTTTCCTCGCAGAGACAGAAGTAGTGACAGGCGCCTCTGGAAACTGATAACGCTAGTGCAAATATGCTGGTTGACGAAGTGGACGGACGACTTGTGAAGTGATCTGACACATGTGAATTACAAGCATAAATTGCGTTGCCATTGGCAGCGGTCATTATTGGTTTCAGAGGTCCGTTATCAAGGAATAATGACCAGTAGAACGTTTTGAAATCACATTCAAATCAATGGAGCATTCTACTTCTACTGTGAATAGCCGTATAATAAAACAAGATAATTATCTCTAGATTGTGCACCTTTACCTGGAAGCTCTGACACACACTGAGCTCTGCTTCCACCTCGTTCAGTTTCTCCAGAAACGTGCTGTCGCTCACAATCCTCCTGTCAATCACAGCTCGAGGGGGAGGCGCTTTGGGGCTGTCACTCAAGCCATGTATGGGCATGGCTCTGGGAGGAGGGGGCGGGCCCATGGGCACTGACTCTGCCCTCAAACGGCAGGGGAGACTTCGAGACAACTGATAAACAGGAGACATTTACAAGTAGAGAAAAAAGAAAAATATGTATGGAATGGAGGCGAGGTCTATATATGGTTGTGGCACAAGTGTGTACATGGTACCTGCCAGGGGCTGGAGGACTCGTCTCGGAATCGACTTCCTCGCGGTGAAGACGCCGTGCTGTCGAGGTCACTCTCCTGAAGTGTCTGAATCACAAGTGTTCAGTTAAAACAGCTTATTCTATCCGCTTTCTTTCTGTCCTAGTATTTGTGTAAAGACTGAAGTTTGTCTCACGTCTTCATTTGTCTCATCGTCTTCATCTTCATCAGGTCTGTACTCTTCATCTGAGGAATCTTCATCAGCCAATGGCAAGTCTACAAAGTGAGGAGGCTAAGATGCAAAGGATCAACGGGTTAGGAGGCGAGTCCAGGAACCAGGAAGGCTCAGGCTGAATCTGAATTTACACAAAATCCTTTCCAACTCTTCTGTACAATACTTCTCATGAGTGCAGCTGCAGGCTTGGTCAGGGGAGTTTTCACACAGAGGAGAAGGAAGGAGGTGTGTTTGGTGAGAGAGGGTGTGGGGGTAAGGATGATTCGTACCTTGCTGACAATGTTGGATTTCTTGATGGGAGACAGATTCCAGTCCGGGATCACCTGATAGAGAAAAGCAAATCAGAGTAGAGTATGGGGTGATGACGACCATGCAGTTTTTTGTACAGGGGCACAACCCACTACACGGGGATTACCCGGTGGGATTACAGCGGTCTCTCACCCAGCCCTGCCCCCCAACGCCCCGGTCTCCCATCCTAGGACTGCTCCTCACAGCCTTGCATAGCTTCACACTCACCACGCCGCGCTCTACAACTTCCTTCAGCTTTGACCTCGTCATCTTCAGCTCCTGAAACAGTCACATGATCAGCGCTGCAGTCTGATTGGCTCCTACCACATGACATCATCACTCACAAAAGGGGGCGGGGCTTCGGTGTCATTAATGGCAGCCTTCATCATAGCCACGACATGTTCGTTAGTGATGACCTCCTGTGGAAACGGCTGACATGTTATACGCAACCAACCTGTGACATGCAACCAATACGTGAAACACAACCAACACAGAGGACACATAACAAAAGCCCAGAGAAATAATTTAAAGCTTGGAAGTGACAGTCCCCAGATCCGTGAGGGATACTGATGATGGACAATTACAAACCACAAGATCTTAAAGACACTGGTTCCACTCCAGCTGGTCAAAGATCAAAAGGTCAGTTCTTACGTGGATGATGGTCTTGATGTTGGCAGTCGTCAAGTTGTGCTGCTTGGACTTGGTCTCCAATGATTGGTCGAGCTGCCTGTCAATCTCAGGCTCGCTCTCGGAAGCCCTGCCCTCCTTTTCCTCAGCATATTTTCTCCTCTTCCTCTTCTGTTTAAGCCGCGACCCGTCTGCAAAACACAAACAGCTCCCTCGAGTGGTGCTTGATGCTCTAGAAGTGCTTTTGTAATACATCTGACATGGTGCTGTCCTTCCTTTAAAGCATCTGAGGAAGGACGCTGCCTATGAATTTGGACACACCTATAGTGTAACTAGTTTGGACAGTGTTCGGAAGAGGTAAGGGAGACACTGATACTAGTATGGATGGAGCTAAACACAACTGCAGATCTTCAGTAAAGTACAGAATAACTAAATTTGATCCAAATTCACTGTCATAGCCGCAGTTAAATTCTTTGTACTAAAATTACAAAGAACACCATGCTCCATGTGATTTTTTTTAATGACCCACGCTGCTACATTACTAACCCATGCTGATGACGAGGCTGGAGGCTCCTACGTCCTCTTCCACCAAAAGGAGCTCATCATCCTCGTCTGTGGTCCCGCTCCCTGCTGCATTGTGGAAAAAGCGTTTCATCTGACCTCTGACCTATGTAGATAGGGGGTGGGGTTAAAAATGACATATTCCAGCTTTAAAGTTACGTAACCCAACTTTAATGTCACTATAAACTTTGTCATTTATACGTCTGCACTAGCCATGTCCTGGAGCCAGTGCGGACGAATCAGGTTTGTGGACGGGCAAGCCAACAGGACCGAGGCTTTACATTTCAGAATCAAGTATTTGATCAAGATGCTTTTCTTTAATTGTTTATTATTCTTTATAACAGCTGCGTATATCTCTCAGCACATGTGCAGAGTCTGAGACCAGTGAACAAGTAATCGATTATAAAAAATAAATAATTACAAATATTGAAATAACACGATTGGTTGCGACGTATCGATTAACAGCCCTGGTGTGTTTACTGTCAGTAGCATTAGCCTTTTTTTTAGCTTCGCGTTCCTTCCGAAGTTGACCCGAGTAGTTGGCCACAACTCACCGGGACACGGGCACTTGAGGCGGCTCCGTTGGTCCGTCCACTGGTTTGGAACCTCCACGGCCTGGGACAGACCCAAAATCCGCTTGTAGATCAATGTCAAAATCCCGGTGAGTATCTGCTAAAGTACTTCCGCGATAGACCCGGCAGAGAAACAAAGGCTGCATCCGATTTCATACATACTTCCTCCTCCTTTACCGCTTTGGCTCTTTCCCATGGATCTCTAGTGCTAAAATAATAAGAGCAATAAAAGCAACACTTGCCGTGCCCCTTTTCGGTCACGTGGTTGCAACCCAGCATGTTGAAGACACAACATTTTACGTACTAGTTACTACTAAAGTTACGTATCACAAATATATTGGGAACTGTTCTGAGACGGGACAGTAAAGACGTTTTCATTCAAAAGAAGGAAGATGACACACAAAACTGGAAACAGCCAAGTTCTCGTGAATAATTAGCGTCGCTCCACGAGAGTAGACCGGTAAAAGCAACATCTCACACGTACCACACGTTTCTTTAGTTGTGTTCACCTTCTTTGTGGTTTGAAAGTTGCGTACGGCAGCTTTACGCTCGATCCACAAAACTGAACAGCAGGTGGCACTAAAGTACTCGCTTTGTTTACAGGCCACAAACACAGAACACTAGAAGAAGAGTCTAAGTCAGATCTGCACGAAACCTCCGCAAGACCCGAGCGTTATACCTGCATTATACCCACATTAGACTCGGCTTTGGCCTGCTTCTCACCCACACACCTTCGCCCCAGACCCGGATCTGGGAGCTCCACCACCGGCCAGCATGGAGCCCTCCTCGGCCAAAGCCAAAGCCTCCGGCCGCCTGCTGCTCTCCACTCCGCTGGACTGTAAGGACGAGTTGGAGGAGGTGAGGACCCGGAGTGACCCGAGTCCTTGTGGGCTATTGTGGGTTAGCCAGTGATACTGTGGCTCACAATGTTTGCAATGAGCAGCTAAAAGCTAATGCTAATAGCATTTTAAAAAAACTAGATCGCGCGTTCGTTTAGTAACTGTGGCGGCCATCTTTGTGTTTGACCGACTGAGAAATTTTCAGAGAACCCATGTTACATATGTGTACGGTTGTGTAATAGTTGTGTTATAACTGTGGTACAGCTGTGTCAGTGCTCTAATCTGTCTGATGTGTTAAGTGCGTAATTGTTCTGTGTTAAAATAACTTTTTTTGGACACTCAAAGACGCTTCACACGTGATTATTCATTCACTCCATACACAGTGGTGATATGTTACTATTGTAGCCCTGACTGCCCTGGGACAGATTGACAGAAATGAGGCAACTACTCTGTGCCATTGGCCCCGCCAATCTCCAACCATTAATTCACACACCAGACTAAATTCGCAGGCGCTCCATGCTGGCATCTATTGTTCCCATAGGACTCCCGTTACAGCTTAAAAGGTCTGACATGATCTGGATTTCACATGTAGGTAGTGCCGTGTGTGTGTGTGTGTGTGTGTGTGTCTGTGTCTGTGTGTTTTTTGTGTGTGTGTTCATTGTGTTCTTTTTTTCAGAGGTTGGAGCGCTGTGTTGGCATCGTCCAGTCACTGACCAATGGGCTGTCAGAGCGAGAAGCTAACGATGCGTTGACCGCAAACGTGAGTTACATGCATTTGTCCTGGCTGTCTGTTGTTACATGCACATGACTCGCTGTAGTTACATGTATTTAACCTGCTGGTCTGTCACAGGTTTGTAAGGGGCAGCAGCAGCATGAGGAGGTATGTCTGGGTTTGTTTGCACTGATCCTGACAGAACCAGCACAAGCCCAAAGGGTGAGTACTACAACTGCTGATACTGCTGATACTGCTACTACTTCCACTGATACTGAGGCCCCGTTTATACGGAGGCACTGCGCAGACGTTGCCAAGCTATTAACAGAAACGACCAGGTTCCTTATGCAAATTTCACAGCGTTCATACAAGGAGGAAAAAACAATGTAGTTCTAGCGCCCAGCCAGTAGTGGGCAGAGGAACTTTACAACACGACACGAACTCTGTGGAGTGATGGAGCGCGTCTTCAACCTGAGCCTCAAGCTGAGGACGGTACCACAGCTCTGGAAGACCTCCTGTGTGGTACCGGTGCCCAAGAAACCACGGGCCAAAGACCTCAGCGACTTCAGGCCAGTGGCTCTAACATCCCACTGCATGAAGACACCGGAGAGACTGGTCCTGGGACATCTCCGCTCCACTCTGAGCCCAGCAATGGACCCGCTGCAGTTCGCTTACAGGCCGGGCATCGGAGTCGAGGACGCCATCATCTCCCTCTTCCATCGCTCCCTGTCCCACCTGGAGAAACCCGGCTCCACTGTGAGGATCCTCTTCTTTGATTTCTCCAGTGCCTTCAACATCATCCAGCCGAGGCTTCTCAGGGACAAGATGGAGACAGCCGGTGTGGACTACGACCTGTCCCAGTGGATCCTGGACTAACTCACAGACAGACCCCAGTTTGTGAGAACCAGGGACTTTGTGTCGGAGGTCCTGACCTGCAGTGTGGGGGCCCCCCAGGGAACTGTCCTCGCGCCGTTCCTCTTCACCCTCTACACTGCGGACTTCAGACACAACACGGACAGTTGTGTTCTACAGAAGTTCTCTGACGACTCCGCCATCATCGGACTCAGCTCCGAGGACGATGACGCAGAGTACAGAGGAGTTAAACAGGACTTTGTGGACTGGTGTCAGCGGAACCACCTCCTCATCAACGCGGGGAAGACCAAGGAGATGGTGGTGGATTTCCGTAGACGTCACTCTGCCGCTCCAGCCCCAGTGAACATCCAGGGAAAGGACATTGAGAGAGTGGACTCTTACAAGTACCTGGGTGTTCCTCTGAACCACAAACTGGACTGGACTCATAACACAGACGCCCTCTTCAAGAAGGGCCAGAGTCGCCTCTACCTACTGAGGAGGCTTAGGTCTTTTGGAGTGCAGGGGCCACTCCTGAAGACCTTCTATGACTCTGTGGTGGCATCAGCCTCTTGTACGGTGTGGTCTGCTGGAGCAGCAGCATCACAGAGAGGGACAGGACGAAGCTGGACAAGGTCATCAGGAAGTCCAGCTCAGTCCTGGGCTGTTCCCTGGACACAGTGCAGCAGGTGGGGGACAGGAGGGTCCTGAGCAAACTAACATCTATGCTGGACCATGACTGTCCCCCCTGCAGGACACTCTCTCTGCTCTGGAGAGCAGTTTCAGTGACAGACTAATTCACCCTCGCTGTGTGAAGGAGAGGTTTCGTAGGTCTTTCCTTCCTGCTGCTGTCAGACTGTACAATAAGTACTGCTGAGCCTGTAAATTTCATGCATCTGTAATTAAGTAAATTCTTAAATCATGTGCAATGTGAAATACTGCAACTTCAGGATGTCACAGAACAATGTCACTTTACCTCATGTCACTTTACTTATATACTTTTTATCCTGCACTATTTAACTGTATATAACTGCACTACCACATATATATTTCTTGACTGGTATTGAAGCTTTTTCAGCATCTACAGATAGTTATGTTAGTTAAGAAACATAGCTACTACTTATTTGTATATAGTGTATATATTGTGTGTGTGATCCCTTTATGCTCTTACTACTGTCCTATATGTGCGATGCAACATCGAAATTTCCCCACTGTGGGACGAATCAAGGAATTCTTATCTTACACGCGAGCCCCAAGCCCCCCAGCAGTATATTCACTTCCTCAACAACATTCACTGCAAGACGTGAAAGAATGCACCAACATCATTCTGCAATTAACAGAAGCTGCAAAAATGGAAACTGAAACTAGAGCTTCGGGTGGTTTCGTTTGGACAAAATGAAAGAGTAGAATTCTCTGTGTAGCGCTCGAAGCACACATAGCTAATTAGTGTTCCCACCGCCATTGTTGTTTACGTTTGCTTTCGGCTACTGCGCATGTCCAAATGTACGTGGGGGGAGGTGGGGGTCAGATCAGACAGAGAATTCACACCTTTTTTCTTCATGCGAAGGCCAATAGGGCCCCTATGTGGAGTAGTATTATTTCTACTACTGTGAGAGAGGGGCATGTGGTGTAGTATTATTAGTGCTACTGTGTGTGTGTTTTTTTTCAGTGCTACAGAGACCTAACACTGGTGAACAGAGATGGAATGAACATTGTTTTGGTCAAAGTGAACCAGATCCTCATGGAGAAGTTCCTCAAGCTGCAGGATGCCCCACGAACACAGGTCTGTGGACGACTGAAATGTCACATCCAACTCGACCCCTGCCACTTCTGTCCCTATGTCCTGTTTTCAACCTCAGCTTTTAATTTCAAAATAACTTTGGAAACAGCGTTCTTTACAACTGAGTGCTGTTTATGGTCCTTAGATGGTCTGATAGTGTTATTTTTGTTCTCACATTGTCTATTTCTGGTCCTCAGATGGTCTGGCTGGTCCGTGAGCTGGTGAAGACCTCTGTGATTGGGGCAGATGGAGTCCTCATGACGCTGCTCAAACAGATCGCAGGAGGAGACATCTCCAGTAAAAACCTGTGGTTAGCAGAGAACGCACTGGACATCCTCTTAGACCAGAAGTAAGTGTGTGTGTGTGTCCGTCCATCCTCCCCTCCTCCATCACCGTGTGGTTCGCCGGACCCACAGTCAGGGACAAGAAGAGACTACAGCGAATCATGCTCTCTGCAGAGAAGGTGATCGGCTGCAGCCTCCGATTGCTGCAGGACTTGTACGTCGCCCGAGCTCACGGGCGGGCTGATTGTATCACTGCTGACCCGTCTCACCCTGCACATGGACTATTCCAACCACTCCCCTCAGGCAGGAGACTACGTTCCAGAACCTCCCGTCTTAACAACAGTTTCTTCCCCTCTGCTGTTGGACTCATGAACACGTCATAAACCATCTCTGACCTCTGCCCTTATGACCATCACTTTACTTCACTCTACCACACTTAACAGTCTATTGTGTGCACCTTTTATTTATGCATGCCTTCTTGATTTTATCCTGCTTTAACTTGTTTGCACCGAGAGCCAAAGCAATTTCCTAGTTTGTGACTTTTTGTTACTCACATTGCAATAAAAGGATTCTGATTCTAAGAAACATGTCACACATCACTATCTAAAAGGCTATCTATATGTGGTTTATATATGTATGTGCTGATCTATATATATATGGTCTAGACCAGTGTCTCCCAAAGTGGGGTCCGCGGCCCCCTGGTGGGCCGCGAGGGTACTGCAGGGGGGCAGCGGGAGGTCAAAAAATAAAATAAAAAAAATAATATAATTATTTAATGTTAAATTTATAATGTTTTGTTTGTAATATTAAAATATTTGTGTTCATTATTTGACTTGAATAATCCACTGTAATCATTTTTGTATCACAATGTTTGTAGCAGAGGCTATTTCCCCAAAATAAAATAACCAGAAGAGCCTATTCTTAATGTTGTCTTCTTGGTTATTATTTTGGGGGGCCACGCAGACCCGTCAGATTTTTAAGGGGGCCTCGGTGTTACTGAGTTTGGGAATGGCTGGTCTAGACTTTGTGTTCCTCATATAGTTTAACAGCTCCTCTCTTCACAGGGAGTGGGTGCTGAAGAGTGGGATGCTGGTTGCCATGTCTGTTTACACTTATTTGCGTTTGATCGTGGATCATGGAGCCCAGAACCTTCTAACGCTGAGACAGAAGGAAGTGGAGTACTGCGCAGGGATGCTGCGAGACAAGGTGAGATCCAGGGACCGTGTGGGGACTGGGTACCAGACCATGTGGGGACTGGGGATTGGCCTCAGCATTAGGGATTTAATATGAGCAGCAGTTTGTTTTGATTCATGATCTCTGAAATATCCACACACAAAAAACTGAGATTTCACATGTTTCTCACGTGTTCCTCAAATGTTCTCAGTTTATGGACTGTGTGGTCATCGGCAGAGATCTGGTGCGTTTGCTGCAGAATGTGGCTCGAATCCCAGAGATGGATCTTCTCTGGAAAGACCTGCTTCACAGCCCTCAGAGCCTGAGTCCACAGTTCACAGGTGAACTAGGTCCAAACCAGGTCCTCATCTGGTTTGGACCTGGCCCAAACCAGGTCTGAACCATGTTCTAAACCTAGTTTCTGGTCTCAGGGATCCTGCATCTACTCACTGCTCGTACGTCTAGAAAGTTTTTGGCCTGTCGCCTCACACCGGACATGGAGACCAAGCTACTGTTCATGACGTCACGGGTGAGTGCTTCTGGTAATGCTACTACTGCTGCTTCTGCTACTGATGCTGCTGCTCACTCATGTGGTACGATTCTGCCTTTCATCTTTATCTGTGTCTTTTCCAATGGGAACTATTCCTTTTCGGACATTGGAGTGCCGCAGTGTTCATGACGTGGTCCTCTGTTATTTGTCAATGTCAGATATATTTGTAAAGCACATTTACAACAACACCAGCTGCCCAAAGTGCTTCACAGGCCTGAACAATTAAAAATAAAAGTATAAAATATATACAAATACAAGGTGTAGATATGTATCTTTAGACAAGATCTAAAGACCTCCAATAAAGGAGCTTTTCACTATTCCACAGTTTGGGAGTAGTAACAGGCGAGACCTGGGCACATTCAACAAAAGATGGTTTTCTGACCTCACTATCCTGACAGGGGCATATGGAGATGGCATCTCTGTCAGATACACAGGGGCTTCATCATATCAAGATTTAAAAACAAGCATCAGAATCTTAAATTTTTAAATTAACAATCCTCCTCTTACACTTCAGATTTTCACTTGTTTTATCATCTAACGCAGTGTTCCCCAACCTTTTTGAGCCGTGGCACACCTTTAACATTCAAAACAATCACATGGCACACCACCAGCTGAAACTGATACCAACTGCCTTTTTAAATAAAAAAAAGTAAATATCTTCTAAGTGTATGATATAGATAATCTGAGAAGTGAAAAGAAGTATTTCTAATCTTCTAATTATTTTATCATCATTCTATCATTTCCAAAGGCACCGAATAACATCTCAAGGCACACTAACGTACCACGGCACACTGGATGAAAAACACTGATCTAACGAATGATTGATCACTTGAAAATCAAATGTTCAGTTGTTTCAGAAGCAAGTTTGTCCTGTTTTTTGTGTCCTGGGTTTCAGGCGTGGTTCCGGTCCCAGGCAGGCCTTGATATAAAGTTTTGGCAGCCACTTGCCCTTTGGGAAAGTAGCATTTATATTTTACTTGCCCAATGTCAAAAGTTACTTGCCCAAATACTTCTCAATACAATGAGTTAACAATAGTTTGGTAATAAAGTGGAACTAAATGTGTGGAAAAATATATAAAAACACCACTCTGCCCAATAAGTCAAATAATGACAGTTACGTGACGTGTTACACTACAAAGTATAGTAACACAGAAATGTAACATATCGATTTTCTCAGCGGATAAAAAGAGGTACTATATTGTGAGGCGTAATAATACGAGGAGCGCTACGTCCGCGCACTAACTCCTAAAGACTTCTCTCCCGCTCACTCTGCTTCTATTGACGGAAGTGAGCGGGAGAGAAGTCTTTAGGAGCTGAGAAAATCGATGTTACATTTACTTGTTACTATACTTTGTAGAGGCTGCGTTTATGCTCCGTTTGCATGACAGAGCGCACGGACAAAGACCAGACAGGGACATATCAACTAGTCTAAGGTAAGAACATATGTCAGTATGTAAAAACGGTGGCCTATTCCTTTAATGGGTTAAAGTAATACATCACTTGCCCGATCGGGCAACTTGCTAAAACAGCGCACTTGCCCGTTCCAAATCTTTAGTTGCCCCAGGCAAGCGGACAACCGTTAATGTCGAGCCCTACCAGGTGTTGATCACTTCAAATATCTGCTTACATTCTTCACATGTAGGGCTGGGCAATATGGCTGAAAACTAGATCACAATATAAGTGATTCATATTGGTCGCTCTGCCCCCCCACGTCAAAACAGCTCCCTCGTTGGAATGTTTTAAGTCTCGTTTTGAGACCCACTTTTATTCTCTGGCTTTTAACACCGCGTGAGTCTTGTGGTTCTCTGTGTTTTCATTTCTATTTTATTTATTTTTTATATATAAATGTGTGTATTTATTTGTTGCCATTTTGCATGTTGTGCAGCACTTTGGAAATAAATAAAGTGGATTGGATTGGTATCAATATATTTTTTAAATTTTTTATTTTTTTTTTTTACCGAAATAAATATATTTCTCGTGTTGGCTAACACGTTATCAGCCCTTGTTTACAGTCACGGGGAATGAGAACTCAGGCTGGAGGCATATTTTCACAAGCACAATTTCCCCCATTGTCAGTCCTGGTTTAATGCTGGTTTAATCCTGGTTTAGCTCTTGTTTTGGCTATTTTTGAGTATCTTGTGTCCCCGTGACGGCTCTGTGCGGCTCTCTGAGAGCAGCACGTGCTTCACGAGAAAAAAAGTGAATCTCGTTGCTTTTGCCGCAAGCATCGCGTTGCCGCCCACTGCCTCTCCCGCGCCGCACATGCTATTCCTCACACAGACGGACATAACCATTGACCATTGGCATTGAAACACGACACAATCTATAGATCCATGGACGCTACGCATGGTGTAGTCATAAACTTTTGCGGTTGTTTTTTTGTGCATTTCCCAGAATGTTTTGCAGTTCATGCTCGGTTGTGATAGGTCGAGAAGCCTCTGCCTACGTCCCCCAGAATGCCGCACGCTTCTGACTCTGCTTTACTTCCTGCGTTTTCCCCCTTTTTTTCCTAACGGAGTGAAGTTAAATTATTGAACATTCTATCGACCCCATTTTCTATTTATAACGAACATGTGTCTTTTGCGATATGTATCGTTATTGTTTTATCGCCCAGCCCTATTCCCATGTAACAAACACTTCATTATGACAGCAGGATGTAAAACACTAGATGGCAGGAGTCCTCAGTGTTCTCCTTGCAATAGGTCCGGTTCGGGCAGCAGAAGCGGTACCAGGACTGGTTTCAGAGACAGTACCTGTCCACGGCCGAGTCCCAGTCCCTACGCTGCGACCTGATCCGCTACATATGTGGCGTGGTGCACCCTTCCAACGAGGTCCTCAGCTCCGACATCCTCCCAAGATGGGCCATCATTGGGTGGCTGCTGACCACATGCACGGTACCAGACCAGACCCAATCCAGACCCAGACTGTTTCCAATTGTGACCCAGAAAATAATCTCAATTGTGTGTCCGCTGTTTAGTCGAATGTGGCTGCATCCAATGCTAAACTTGCTTTGTTCTACGACTGGCTCTTCTTCAACCCCGAGAAAGACAGCATCATGAATATTGGTGAGTGGTAGACGCAGAGGTAGACGCTGCAGTGTATCTTTAACCCTGAATCTTTTGTCCACAGAGCCGGCCATCCTGGTCATGCATCACTCAATGAAACCTCATCCTGCCATCACAGCCACGCTGTTGGACTTCATGTGTCGGGTGAGGGGGCAGGGCTTAAAGGGTGTAGAGGCGGGTTTGGAGTGACACGCCTTACATTAAGATAAGATATTCCTTTATTCGTCCCACAGTGGAGAAATTTCAGTGTCATCGTTGAGCACATTAGTGCCCTGCACGGGCCTATTATCTGGGCCCGAGCACGGCCCTGGCCCGAGGGGGTGGAGCGCCAGCCCGGCCCGGTCCGACAGGTTTTCAGAATTCTCAAGCCCAAACCTGTATCAAGCCCAATTTTTATTATTTTTTTTTACTTCCCATCACAATGTTTTAGCGTAGTATATAGTGCAGCGCACTGATATGAACACAGGCCCGGCTAGAGGGCGGAGTTATGGTAGTGATGTGCTGCAATGAGTTCTGTGTGTACGGAGTGAACGCAGCTGTATGATACCCAGAGGCCGCAATAAACTACAACACACTTGAAGGTAACGCTGTTTTGTCAATAACAATACTATACAGAACAACAAATACTACAGCGTGATAGAACGCTATATTCATTGGGTGCTTTCGTAAATGTAATCTGCCTCTCTGAAAATGAATAAATAAAAGTGCCCTAGCCCGGCCCGTGTCCGAAGTAATTATGCGGTCATCGGCTCGAAACTCTGGAGCTATAATTGCACATGGTTCAGAAGTATTTACAGATGTGTATATCGTACTTTAGCAGCAGAGAATGAGAGGTGGTTCCGCTAACACCAGTCCACAAAGTCCTGTATTACTCCTTCTGTACTCCTTCTCCTCCTCTGCGTCATTGTTCTCGGGAGCTGAGTCCGATGATGGCAGTCGTCAGAGAAGGGCTGTAGGACACAACCGTCCGTGTTGTGTCTGACGTGCGCAGTGTAGAGGTGAAGAGGAACAGTGCGACAACTGTCCCCTGTGGGGCCTCCACACTGCAGATCAGGACCTCAGACACGCAGTCCCTGGTTCTCACAAACTGGGGTCTGTCTGTGAGGTAGTCCAGGATCCACTCAGACAGGTTGTAGTCCAAATCAAAGAAGAGGATCCTCACAGCAGAGCCAGGCTTCCTCAGGTGGGACAGCGAGCGGTGGAGGAGGGTAATGATGGCATCCTCAATTATGATGCCCGGCCTGTAGGCGAACTGCAGCGGGTCCATTGCTGGGCTCAGAGTGGAGCGGAGATGTCTCAGGACCAGTCTCTCCAGTGTCTTCATGCAGTGAGATGTTAGAGCCACCGGCCTGAAGTCTCAACAATGGGGGAGCCAAGGGGAGGGGATGTTTTGGTCCCACACAGACAATACAATACAATACAATTTATTCTTGTATAGCCCTAGGTCACAACAGAAGTCATCTCAGAGACTTAACAAAACCATTGAAATCACCAACACAGGTCAGAGAATCAACAGTTAAAACACATGAAGAATATAAAGCACACACAGAAGAAAATGTCCATACATGTTGTAGAATGCTAAAGTGTCCTGATCATCACCAATCCTTTCTGTTGGACACTAACTGTCCAACAAGACCCTCCTGCATCGACAAGGAAAAACTCTTAAAAAACCCAGTGGGAAAAAGTGAGAAACCTTGGAGGAGAACTAGGGAAACCCACAGGGAGGGAGACCCATATGAGAAAGGGATCCGCTCCTCCGGACGGACAGGCTAATGATCTAGGACCTAAGCTAGCTACAGAACGTGGACCAGTGGACGCTGAACGTGGACAGGTCCGGTGCAGGACTGAAGCACTCCCAGGCGGGTCGGGCGGGGCAGTCCGCAGGTGTAGATGGAAGAGGCCAGGCTCAGAGATCCCGTCATCGTACCATGAAACAGACAATGGGACAACGGGTGAATAGCAATGAACAAACTACAGTCAGAATCCTAAAAATGCTAAACAGATAAAGTAGGAAGGAGGAGAGGATAGTGCTCAAGTTACCATACTTCTCCCAGCAAACTGACTCCCTATGCAGCTTGACTAACACTCTGAGGAGTTTAACCTTCTCCGAGTCTTACCTTCCTAGCCATATGCTAAACTAAAGAGGACTGTTTTAAACCTAGCCTTGAATAAAGAATAACATACAGCATAATATATAACATAATATACAACATAACACAATACATTATTGAATAATATATAACATAATATATAACATAATACAGCATATATATATAATATATACACTACATATTATATATTACCTAATTATATGCTAAATTAAAGTAAAGTGCTTTAAGCCTGGCCTTGAATGTGGAGACCGTATCTGCTTCCTTAACATAAATGGGAAGCTGATTCCACAGTAAAGGAGCTTGGTAGCTAAATGCTCTGCCACCAACAGTGACCTTTGAGACCTTAGGGACCACCAGACGTCTGGCGTTTTGTGAGCGCAACGCTCGACTTGGTTGATACGACACTAACGTGTCTTGGAGATAAGAAGGAGCCAAGCCATTTATGGCTTTATATGTTAAGAGTAGGATTTTAAACTTTATTCTGTACTCCACAGGGAGCCAGTGGAGTGATTTTAACACCGGAGTTATGTGCTCCCTCCTTTTGGTACCTGTTAAGATCCTAGCTGCTGTATTCTGAACGAGCTGGAAGCTCTTCAAGGAGGCTTTAGGGCACGCTGCCAGTAAAGCGTTACAGTAGTCGAGCCTTGAGGTGACAAACGCGTGAATGAGTTTTTCCGCGTCACTTTTAGGAAGGAAATTCCTAATTTTAGCGATGTTCCGTAAGTGGAAGTACGCCGTTTTAGTTGCTTGGCTTATATAAGCCTTGAAGGAGAGTTCTTGGTCAAAAATGACTCCAAGATTCCTCACAGTGTTACTGGGTATTATACTGACATTATCGAGAGTAACCATCTGGTTAGTGAGGGAGTCACGCAGGCGCTTCGGACCGAGTAGGATCACTTCTGTCTTCTCCGGGTTGAGAAGTAGGAAGTTAAGAGTCATCCACATTTTAAGGTCCTTTATGCAGGCACTGAGCTTTTCTAGCTGATCTGTCTGATTAGGCTTCATCGACAGATAAAGCTGTGTGTCATCTGCATAGCAGTGGAAATTAATTCCATGCTTTTTAATAATGTTTCCCAGTGGCAGCATGTAGAGAGTAAAAAGAATCGGTCCGAGTACCGAACCCTGCGGCACACCGAATTCCACTCCAGAATAAGGCGACGAGTCCTGATTCACATTGACGAAGTGATATCGATCTGATAAATAGGATTTAAACCAGCCAAGGGCTGTTCCTCTAAGACCTATATCACATTCTAGCCTCTGCAGTAGAATGCTGTGGTCTATTGTGTCAAATGCAGCACTAATGTCCAGTAGGACCAGCACTGACACTTGTCCATTATCGGCAGCTAGTAGTAAGTCATTTGTGACTTTGACTAGTGCCGTTTCAGTGCTATGATGAGCTCTGAATCCTGATTGAAAGACTTCAAACATATAATTTTCCTGCAGGTGGCAGCGGAGCTGCTCAGCTATAAGTTTTTCCAGGATTTTAGATATAAAAGTGAGGTTTGAGATCGGTCTGTAGTTTGTAAGTATTTCTGGGTCCAGGTTTGTTTTCTTCAGAAGGGGTTTGATTACCGCGGTTTTAAAAGCTTGTGGGACATAGCCACATTGTATGGATGCGTTTATTATATTTACGATAGGCTCAATTATCGAAGGAAGTATGTCTTTGAAGAGCCATGTCGGGACTGCGTCTAACATGCAAGTTGAGGCTTTTGAGGATGTGACCACAGAGATCACCTCTGCTTGGCTCACAGCCATGAATTTATTAAGGCCCACTGAAGAGTCTAAGTGGGAAGTCACGTATGCCGCTTCAACCTGTCCACCACTAACAGCAGGAGCAACCTCCTCCAGCTTGTCACGGATGGATGTAATTTTATTATTAAAGAAGTGGAGAAAGTCGACACTGCTCAGTGAGCTTGGAATTTTAGGCTCGATTGCGCTATGGCAGTTTGTGAGTTTAGCGACGGTACCAAACAAAAATCTACTGTTGTTTTTATTCGCTTCTATTAAAGTTGAATAGTATTGAGTTCGAGCCCCGCGAAGGGCCTTCTTGTAGTTTCGGAGACCTGCTTTCCACTCCCTGTGGACAGGCTCCGAGTGGGAGTGGCGATATAGCCTCTCCAATTTTCTGACGTCCTGTTTTAAAGTGTGGAGTTGAACACTGTACCAGGGCGACGATGATCTAATCCTAATGGTTTTCTGTTTTAAAGGAGCTGCTGCATTTAATGCAGATTTTAAAGACTCCATAGTGTTGCCCACCGATTGGTCAATGACTGAGGGACTGCAGCTGCTGTGAACAGGTTCACCTGCAGCAGTATTCAACATAGGCTGTATTAGTTCTTTGAACCTTGTGATAGATTTATCATTTAAGGTTCTTTTCATTATGGTTTTATCTTGCGGGACAGGAAAGTCCTCCAAAGCGAGATCAAACGTGATCAAGAAATGGTCAGACAGCAACGAGCTTTGACGCTGGATGTCAACATTGGAGACATCACAGCCGTAGGTCAGGACAAGGTCCAAGGTGTGGTTATGAATGTGAGTAGGTTCCTCAACATTCTGAGTAAAACCAACACCATCTAGTACGGCGCTGAAAGCTTTGTTTAAGCTGTCAGTGCTGTCATCCACATGTATATTGAAGTCTCCAGCTATAACTATGTTTTCCCATTACAAAACTAGGTTTGAAATGAAGTCAGAGAATTCTGTTAGGAACTCGCTGTAAGGACCAGGAGGTCGGTATAAAACTATAAATAGTACTGCTTTTTGTTTTCTCCACCCAGGACAGGTGATTGAAAGTGTTAAGTTTTCAAACGAGTGAAAAGCGTTGTTGGTTTTGGGACTAAGAACCAAGTTGGTGTGTGATATAATCGCAACGCCACCGCCGCGACTTGTAGTTCTGGCTTTCTGGTAGTTAACATGCGTCGGAGGAGTGCACTCATTCAATCTAACGTAGTCGTCCTGTTGGAGCCAAGTCTCCGAGAGCGCAAACAGATCCAAGCCCTTGTCTATAATAAGTTCGTTTATGAGAAGCGATTTAGACGAGATTGATCTGACGTTCATTAAACCACATTTAACAACCCTACCGCTAGAACTATTTCTGTCTGTCTGAACTTTTATTAAGTTACTGTGTCTGACACCTAGGTCAGATTTCCTCGCATATAGTGCTTTAGACTTCAAGCAGGGAACACACACAGTTTCAATCTGACTAGCCTCTGAGGCTAGTAACTGAACAGATGGGGGCTCAGAGGTTGTGGCAGAGCAGCTCTGCACCCGGGCCTCAGTTCTGCATCGTCATTTGAGCCGAGCAGAACAGTTTAGAGCCAGGGCCAAATTCTTAGCCAAAAGGGATGTACCCGCCAACGTTGGGTGGATATCATCCGAGCGGATGAGACCGGGCTTTCCCCAAAAGGCACTCCAATTGTCAACATGAACAACACCACTTCGAGGGCACCAGCCAGACAGCCAGCGGTTGAAAGCCGAGTGTCTGCTGAATGCTTCTGCACTGCTAGTGCTAGGTAGGGGCCCAGAGAAGATGACAGTGTCGGCCATTGTGCTAGCCAGCTTGCACACGGCGGCGACTTGCAGCTTCAACACCTCGGACTGTTTCCGCCGAACGTCATTACCACCCGCGTGAATAACAATTCGACGGAAACGCTGCTTGTGGGTCATCAGATTCCCTTCAATATCACCAAGCCTGGCCCCAGGGAAGCACCGAACAGTGGCTCCTGGGATCTTAACACCTCTAACAATAGAGGAGCCAATTACCAGCGCATCAGCGACTCCATCGGCTCTCTCAGCAGCTCTCTCAGCGGCTCTCTCAGTGGGGCCTTCTTCCCCGCCCGGTCGTGCGGGGGCGCAGCCGGACAGAGCGTCCCAGCGATTGTAAATGCTAACAGGAGGAGGCCCAATGGGGAAACTACCAACAACACGTCGCCCTTTCCGAACAGTCACAAAGCCATCACTATCCTGGTCTTGTCCCAGCTGCGGAGGACGGGCTGGGAGGCTAGGCTCGCTAGTTCTCCTCTGCCTTTCCCTAAAGCTGCGCTCCGCTGTCCCTGAGGATACGGCCTGGCTGTAGCTAATGCTAGCGCTAGCTCGAGACTCCAGTGCTCGGAGACGCAGCTCTAACTCACTGACCCTGGATTCCAGAGCTACGACTACACTACACTTCACACATCTATCACTACCCTCAGAGAAGGATCCAGGGTTTAGACTCGCCATATGGCAACTCGAGCAGTAAAGGATTGAGGGAGAGACAGCAGCCGCCATAGTAGCGAGTTAGCGGCTAGGCTAGGCTAAGCTAGGCTAGGCTAAGCTAGTACGGATCCGGGCCCGCACAACAGACTCCGAGACCAGACAAACAACCGCTACCTAAACCTCAGCTGCAGTACAGCTGACTCGGAGTGCTTACACAGTTAGCTTGGTGTACAATACGTGGATTTGTAATGTGTTTGTTAGTGCAAACAGAGAGCAGAGTGATAGCAGTCAAGAAACACGCTCACCGGATACAGGAAGTCACCCTTCTTAGACAGCAGGATACGTCCCCAAAACTTATTCTCCCAGTGATGTATAAAAACGGTATTTACTAAAGAAGCATAAAAACAGGTATAGAGAGGGAAATAAAAGTTGAAACTGAACGAGCACCACGCGACGGGCAGCCGGCTCCTCCAGTGCCTGCGCAATATTGGGAGTTAAAGTCCCCTCTCTTTTACATTGGGGGAGTATTCCTCTTTCTCTTACATTGGGGTACTTAGTTCCCCCTTGATGCCAGGAGGTGGCGCTGTCCTTATGTCCTTCTCTGTTACAGATCATCCCTCACTTCTTCCCTCCGCTGGAGTCGCAGGTTCGTCAGGGCGTCTTCAGCTCCCTCACCTTCATCATGGAGAAGAGAGTCCTGGCGTGAGTACTACCCAGCAGGGAGTAGCAGGGGTCATGTGGGTTTAGAAGTCATTCAGTTGGGCTGGGTCAAGAGTCATCACAAGGCTGAAAATCTGTGAAATGGAAGAGTCCCATGACTCTGATCACCTCCGACTGTGTTGAACTGTTACAGCACATATACTCTTGTATACCCAAGTACTTAGAACCACTTGCAGTAGTTTGAAGTACTAAGCAGTAATTTGAAATACTTGTAACGCAGGCACCTGGCTCCTCTCTTCGATAACCCCAAACTGGACCGTGAACTGCGCTCAATGCTCCGAGACAGATTCCCTGAGTTCTGCAGCGCCCCCTCCCCCCCGACTGAAGGTAGTGCACTCTCCTGCTCCCCTAACTCCTGCTCCCCTAACTCCTGCTCCCCTAACTCCTGCTCCCCTAACTCCTGCTCCCCTAACTCCTGCTCCCCTAACTCCTGCTCCCCTAACTCCTGCTCCCCTAACTCCTGTCCCCTAACTCCTGCTCCCCTAACTCCTGTCCCCTAACTCCTGTCCCCTAACTCCTGTCCCCTAACTCCTGTCCCCTAACTCCTGTCCCCTAACTCCTGTCCCCTAACTCCTGTCCCCTAACTCCTGCTCCCCTAACTCCTGCTCCCCTAACTCCTGCTCCCCTAACTCCTGCTCCCCTAACTCCTGCTCCCCTAACTCCTGCTCCCCTAACTCCTGCTCCCCTAACTCCTGCTCCCCTAACTCCTGCTCCCCTAACTCCTGCTCCCCTAACTCCTGCTCCCCTAACTCCTGCTCCCCTAACTCCTGCTCCCTAACTCCTGCTCCCTAACTCCTGCTCCCCTAACTCCTGCTCCCCTAACTCCTGCTCCCCTAACTCCTGCTCCCCTAACTCCTGCTCCCCTAACTCCTGCTCCCCTAACTCCTGCTCCCCCTAACTCCTGCTCCCCTAACTCCTGCTCCCCTAACTCCTGCTCCCTAACTCCTCTCCCCTAACTCCTGCTCCCCTAACTCCTGCTCCCCTAACTCCTGCTCCCCTAACTCCTGCTCCCCTAACTCCTGCTCCCCTAACTCCTGCTCCCCTAACTCCTGCTCCCCTAACTCCTGCTCCCCTAACTCCTGCTCCCCTAACTCCTGCTCGTCTCACTCCTGCTCGTCTACTAGTCTTTTACCTCCTTGTCTCCTCAGTGAAGCTGGACGATTCGTCCCTCTTGGACTCGTCTCTTTTGGACAAAGATGAATCTGGATACGACCACACGGAGGCGGCGTTTTCTGATGACGAAGATGAGATCAGCTCAAAAGGTCTGAGAAATCTACTACTAGTGCTGCTGATTCTTCTGTCATTAGTCTGGTCCTGATGGTTAACACCATAATTATGTTTCAGGGAAGAAGCGTGAGTTCCGGTTCCATCCAATCAGAGAAGCCATTGTTGAGGAACCTGCTGACATCACACCGTGGTTGGACCAATTAGAAGACAGCATAAAAGACAAAGTGCAACAATTACAGAAAACTAGGTACGAGTCTCTCGACATGAGTCTCTCGACATGAGTCTCACGACATGAGTCTCACGACATGAGTCTCACGACTAACATGTTTGTCGTCTACAGCGACACAGAGACTCAGTGTGAGGTGATGCAGGAGATTGTGGACCAGGTTCTTGAGGTAAACGCCACCTACCTCAACATTCAGTGTCACAGTTTGTCACAGTCTGAACGACCCTGTTCCTTCAGGATGACTTTGACCAGGAACAGATGTCTTCTCTGTCCTCGTGTCTCTCGGAGCTGTTCAAGGAGCATTTCAGAGGGGATGTTCTACCGGACGAGATCACCGAAGAGTAAGAGCCACTCACAAGACCAGAGAGAGAGAGAGAGAGAGAGAGAGAGAGAGACCAGAGAGAGAGAGAGAGACCAGAGAGAGAGAGAGAGACCAGCGAGAGAGAGACCAGAGAGAGAGAGAGAGAGAGACCAGCGAGAGAGAGAGAGGAGACCAGCGAGAGAGAGACCAGAGAGAGAGAGAGAGAGAGACCAGAGAGAGAGAGAGAGAGAGACCAGAGAGAGAGAGAGAGACCAGAGAGAGAGAGACCAGAGAGAGAGAGAGAGAGACCAGAGAGAGAGAGAGACCAGAGAGAGAGAGAGACCAGAGAGAGAGAGAGAGAGAGACCAGAGAGAGAGAGACCAGCGAGAGACCAGAGAGAGAGAGACCAGAGAGAGAGAGAGACCAGAGAGAGAGAGAGACCAGAGAGAGAGAGACCAGAGAGAGAGAGAGACCAGAGAGAGAGAGACCAGAGAGAGAGAGACCAGCGAGAGAGAGACCAGAGAGAGAGAGAGACCAGAGAGAGAGAGAGACCAGAGAGAGAGAGAGACCAGAGAGAGAGAGACCAGAGAGAGAGAGAGAGACCAGAGAGAGAGAGAGAGACCAGAGAGAGAGAGAGAGACCAGAGAGAGAGAGAGAGAGACCAGAGAGAGAGAGAGACCAGAGAGAGAGAGAGACCAGAGAGAGAGAGACCAGAGAGAGAGACCAGAGAGAGAGAGACCAGAGAGAGAGAGACCAGAGAGAGAGAGACTAGAGAGAGGCGGGCCATTTGATCTGGAAGACACTGTGAGTAACGCGTGTATTCACATGTATGTTTAGTTAATTGTTTATTTGGTTGGGACACATTACTCAGGATTGTACCCTTGGGCTATTTTCCAATCCGTCATCCCACAGTCTCACTCACAACCACACACTCTGTGTGTGTGTGTTGCTCACGTGTGTGTGTTTGTGTGTATTGCCCATGTGTGTGTTGCTTACGTGTGTGTGTGTGTGTGTGTTGCTCACTTGTGTAGGTCTCTGGAGGACTCCGTGGGGAAGCCTGTTTGTCTCATTTTCAGGAACCTGGTCCTGATGCAGGAGGACAACAGCGGGTTCTCGGTTCTTCTGGACCTTCTGGCAGAACTGTACCAGAAACAGCCCAAGATCGGATACCACCTGTTGTACTACCTCAAAGCCAGGTGAGACCCGTGTAGGGCGCTCTTGCGGATGTCGTTTTTTTTAGCGTGTTAGCTGGTGTTAGCCGATGACCGTAAATTATGTCCATTTGGTCAAACCACCTCCAGACTTTTTGGTTGAGCACACTTTTGCTGATCTGTTTTGCATGGAAGTCACTTTTAAGCATCTTAACTTTTTTCTGCACTGTGATCATGTCCATGGATATCCATTCTTCCCTCCTTCGCGCTAAACTCACAAACACCTTCTGGTTTCTGGTGGCACCATCGAGCTCACGCTGGTGTCCTCTCCTCAAACTGAGGAAGGTTTTGATCACAGCTTACGACCAAGGAATTGTTTTCAGTTCATGGATTTAAGCAATGATTATGATTTTTGCAAAAGCCGACGCAGCAGCTGAAGAATGATTTACAGCGCTTCTGACCAATCAGAATTGACGTTTGCCCACGTCAGATTGTTTTGGTATCTACTCGGCCCAGCTAGAACCAGTGCCAAGCAGTTACTAAAAATACCAACCGGGGAGAGTGGAGTTGAGTCGAGCCAGGCCTAGCCTGGTTCCATCTGCATACAACCCCCCTCGCCCAGAAGACTGGAACAGTGAATTTCAAAACAGTCTATCTAGCCACATATAGAAATAATTAAAAATGATAACTTAAAAAACATTCCTATGACAACTGGACTGTCTACTTTCATCAACAAAAAGTTTGTTTCTAGCTTATTTCGTTCTCTTATACCTCCCAATGGAAAGAGGGAAGTTAAGCAGCGATCACTGAGAAAATGTTAGTGTTAAAATCACTTTTCTGCATGGTGTCTGTTTTCACAATTTAGTTTGACTTTAGGGGCTGTTGCTATGTGTACTGGGTGCAGCTCTGACTTCCACCCCCCCGACCCAGAAATGGATTAATGGGTTTAACTTTAGTGTCTCCTCATCAGTGGCTTTGGAAGAAGCATTTCAAGGTCCTGGAGTGGCCTTGGCAGTCTGAAGATCTCAACCCCATAGAAAATCTTTGGAGGGAGTTGAAAGTCGGTATTTCCCAGCGACCTCCCCAAAACAACATATTCTCATGTCCTATCCTTATTAGGCCCGAGCCCCAACTGGGGTAAGGGCTTATTGCTTTCCCAACGAGTAATGCCAACGAGATTGTGTCATAAGTCACAATCTCCGGGCGCAGCAAATAAATGGCTTTACTCCTGCTGTAATACACAGTGAAATGAATGGGGCCCTATGGAGGGGGTGGGTGACCTCACGATGGTGAGGTGATTGACGAGCGCTAACGGGCCTAACAGCAGTGCAGAGTACCCGGCCTTCTTGGAGTCCTTGGGAGGGGTACTGGACAGTGCACCGCCCGGGGACTCCGTTATTCTCCTGGGGGACTTAAACGCCCATGTGGGAAATGCCAGTGACACTTGGAGAGGGGTGATCGGGAAGAACGGCTCCTCTGATCTGAACCCGAGCGGTGTTCAGTTGTGACCTTCGACCGCGTGTCTCGGACACTCGGGTGAAGAGAGGGGCGGAGCCGTCAACCGATCACCACCTGGTCGTGAGTTGGATCCGCTGGCAGGGGAGGAAGCTGGTCAGACCTGGCAGACCCAAGCGTGTAGTGAGGGTCTGCTGGGAATGGCTCGCTGAGCCCCCTGTCAGACGGACTTTCAACTCTCACCTCCGGGAGAGCTTCTCCCAGGTCCCGGCGGAGGAGGGGGACATCGAGTCCGAGTGGACCATGTTCTCTGCCACAATCGCCAATGCGGCGGCTCGTAGCTGTGGTCGTAAGATCTCCGGTGCTGGTCCCGGCGGCAACCCCCGAACCCCGGATATTGTCGGGCGGTGGAAGGAATACTTTGAGGTTCTCCTCAATCCCCCCGTCACGTCCTCTGTTACAGAGGCAGAGGCTGAGGATGTTGGGGCGGATACATCCATATCCCTGGCTTAAGTCACCAAGGTGGTTGGATGAGATCCGTCCTGATTATCTAAAGTCTCTGGATGGTGTAGGACTGTCTTGGCTGACACGTCTCTGCAACATCACCTGGCAATCGGGGGCGGTGCCAATGAAGTGGCAGACCGGGGTGGTGGTCCCTCTCTACAAGAAGGGGGACCGGAGGGTGTGTTCCAATTATCGTGGGATCACACTCCTCAGCCTCCCCGGTAAGGTCTACTCCAAGGTACTGGAGAGGAGGCTACGGCCGATGGTTGAATCTCGGATTCAGGAGGAGCAGTGTGGTTTTTTGTCAGGGTCGCCGAACACTGGACCAGCTCTATATTTCTAGGCGCAGCCAGGGGTCGGAGGGGGTCCTGTTCAGGGACCACAGGATTTCATCTCTGCTGTTTGCGGACGATGTTGTCCTGTTGGCTCCAACGAACCAGGACCTGCAACATGCACTGGGGCGGTTTGCAGCCGAGTGTGAAGTGGCTGGGATGAGAATGGATGGATTTTTTAGGGACTAAGAAAATGCCGGAACAGCGCCCCCTACAAAAGTCAGTTTACATTGCTCCTATGGGAGGGGGTCTGAGGTCAAGTTTGTCGTAGAGCCATGAAATTTGGTACACATGTTCCTCAACTCAAGACATGAAAAAAAAGTTATTATGGCCATGCCCCCTGACAAACAGGGAGCTCATTCATTTCAATGGGAAATGGAAAAATGAAAATTTATCTTTTTGGAAAGCGACCCCTCCTTGGCCGTTTCACGATTTAATTTTCAAGACTTGATTTTTACCCTGTTGCCGTGGCAACGACAAACGCTCCCCATTCTGTGTCTATGGAGAAATTGTTAAATCTCTGAAATGTACACCTCGCTCAAACATCAAGCCAACCGCGGTCGTTTCACTAATTTTGGCTGAAAATTGCTCCACATCATCTCAACATCAATAGTTGCATATAGAATTTTAATTCGTCAAACGTCTGCGCGTGACAGACTCCCAATCCAAATTGTGGTTATTTTCATAGAGAGGTGTGAAGTTCCCATGTTATCCAATGGAGACAGTATGGACACACTCACAGATTGTATGTGCAAACAGGAGCACTTTTACAAACTCTGATATTCACTAAACTTGACTCGGTTGTTCAACTCCTGGGCCTAGGTCACATGACAGTGTGAACAATGACATTGGCCCATTATTGCCCCTTACAGACTGAGTAACACTTTAACATGGGGATACAGGTATTTCGTTTTTCTGTTGTTTGATCTCATATTTATGAAAGCCCGTTTCCGCCATGTAAAAAAAAAATTCGACTTTAAAAGTCAAAATTTTGACTTTAAAAGTCAAAATTACGAGTTTTCAACTGCGCATGTGCAGTTGAAAACTCGTATGTGTTGTTGTCTGGAACGGTCTCTGGACATCCCTGTTATAGATCCATGACCATGGGTTATCCTCTACCTGCAGATTATGTGAAGATTTTGCCTACAGACAGTGACCACATCCATGAAGTAGCAGCAATAATGTTGTGGTAGTAATGGCGTTAAAATGCAAACGGTCTCTCCGTTTATGATTAGAATCCGCTTCAGAAGCCTCTATTTAGTTTATTCTAAATGGACTGTGGAAGATTAATAATAAAACACATGCGGCTGGTCAAAGTCATTGAGCATCAACTGGTGACATCTGGTCAGTATCATGGCTATCGATGGATGCACCAGAAATGCAGTGAATGATATTGTGACTGACAGAGAGACCGTTCGCAATTACAGGACAGTGAGGGAGGTCCGCAGACAGAGGCAGGAGAACCACAGTCACGGGCACTGACAATATTACCCTTTTGGAATTGCGATCAGTGCATTGAAGAGTATGTGACGTGTTTGCGTGCACGCGGGGGTGAGCTGATGGAGCGTGAGGTAAAGTTGTTGGCGTATGAGCAAGAACACAGAGACATACAGGGAATAAGTACTTTGTCTGATTATTTTATTGTGACAAAATAAAGCCCACGACTCTTTTAGCAACAATCCGGAGAAATAACTCCGCAGATAACAGTGAGGGTCTTTGAAAAGGGAGTTAAACCCATCATAGATGCATGAATAAAACCCCGTACTCAACACGTAGAAAGTGCATCCTTTCAGCCGTGGAAATACTCGCTCCGTGTGGACCCCTCTCAGCGCCATCGTCTGGTCAGAGTGGTCTATAGCAGATTGGATTGGAATGTCTCGATGGCTCATTTTCCTTTGATTAATATGTTGAATAAAAACATATTGCTCACATTATTTGTTAATATGTCAAAATAAGAAGTTGTTTGATTTAAATGTTGTATATATGTAAATTGAATTTAACATAAATAAATAAAAAGACAGCTCCCCCCTGCGTCCTACGACCGCGGTCTGGGGCTTAAACAGGAAAGTTTTACAGAATCAATCAAACAACATTATGTCTGGCTACTTCATGGATGCAGTGGTCACTGTAGGCAATATATTCACATAATCTGCAGGTGAAGGATGTCCAGAGACCGTTCCAGACAACAACACATACGAGTTTTCAACTGCACATGCGCAGTTGAAAACTCGTAATTTTGACTTTTAAACTCAAAATGTTGACTTTCTGTATGCTTTTTTTTTTTTTTTTTTTACATGGCGGAAACGGGCTTCCATACATATTTGACCCACTTAAGAAACAAAAAAATGTTGCCAAAAGTTTTTTTCAGGCATAAAATGTATTAATTTGGTTTTCTTTGGTATAAGACTTAAAAAAAATTGAAATTGTAGGGGGCGCTATTTTACAACATAAATGCCACCATTTGCACATACAAAGTCCGATTTGCAAAAAATTAAATTGATTGTTCAACTCTTGGGTTTGAGTAAACTGAGAGTGTGAATCATGAAATTGCAGCATTAGCGCCCCCCCTACAGACTGAGTCAAGTTTTACTTGGGCAGAAAGATAGATAGTTTTCTCAAAATGTTTGAAATGTTGCACATAATTCTGTTTTGCCATCACAAAAAACTCAATTACACCCCATGGCTTATTTCTTACTTTGTTGCCGTGGCGACGTCAAACGCCCCCCCATTATGTGTCAAAATCAAAGAGACAAA